ATATTGTTTTTAAACAGCTGTATGTTTAAACTCCTGTAACTTCATAATGAAATGTCAGATTTAAATGATTCTTTTACCATTTTGTAGCTCTTATTTCACTGTTCAACACTTTATTAATAAATTATTAATGACTGGTTTGGCTTTTCTAGCTCCTTTGTACTGTATGAATAAATCACAGATATTCAAACATGTGGTTAGATCATGAAGTCTCTTCAGAGTTTATTTTAGCATCATGCAGTATGATATTAAAGCCCCATTCCCCGGCAAAATTTCATTTTTTAAAGGAAAGTCTGATTTTTATATGTTAGAAAGATTTATAAATATAATAAGAAATTGCTAGTTTACCTGAGGCCTTTGAATTGTCTTTGAATGCAATGGTTGCTTGATAAAAAGTGACTCAACATCGGAAGAGAAGCGGATGAGGCCTTGATAATATTGCCTGCTTTTCTTAACCCTTTAATTTTTATATCTATCAAGATGAATTTCATTACTTCTAGTCTTTGAATTGTCTTTGTAGGGAAAGCACTACGAATGCACTACATGAATTTTCAACATCAGAAGTTAAATGGATGAGGCCTTGATGGCTAGAATGTAGTCTGCTTTTTTTGACCATTTTTTTTGTTGCATCTATCAAAATGGATTATATTGCTTGCAGTCTTTTAATCATTTTTGCGGAGAAAGCACTGTGAAAGCACTGCTTTTTTTTTTAACATGTATACGGTATTCCACATTCTATAAATCTATTTAATTAAATAAGTAACATAATGCTGATTGAATATGGATCTAATCTACCGTAGTCATTATGATTTATTGTTAGTGCACTCTAACTTTCAATGTACTAATTGAATTAGCATACATAGTGATTATATTTATAAATTTTTTTTTTTTTTTTACATAGAGCATGAACAAGTTCTTAGTAAGTACTGCAAAATTAGTAAGAAGAAAGAGAATGAAACCAAAGCCAGAATTGAAAGTACTGATGAATTATGCAACGTGAGGAAGAAATTAATGCAGGTAATATTATGATGATATTCATTAAATTGTGTTTTACTCTTTAGTGGGTCACAGGCAATATTCAAACCAATTGCAAAAAAATCATTCTTACCGGTACAATAAACAATTCAGTATCAAAACACCGTCATAACCATCACATGCATTGTCATCACAACCATCTTTGGCATTGTTGCCTGCACCATCTTCACTATCAGTCACTGCATAATCATTATTTATATTCACCGTAATATTCATAATGGAATCTGTATTTATTCAAATAGATGCCCCGGGGCGTTTATTAATGAAATTATTCAAGGGAGGAATTTTTTTTTTGTTGTTGGTGTGAAATGGATATGTAGGTATTGTATACTTATATGCCACTTAATTTCACTGCTAATTACCATCAAAATGTGTTATTGTATGATCATAAAGACTTATATTTATCCTAACCATGTTTAAAAAAAATGTAATTCTACTGGAGTAGAACATTAATGAATCTTTTGAGAGTGATGGACATCCATTAGTTTTGTTTAAGGTCTTTTAGTGGAGCATTTATTTGATGAAAAATATACGCCCAGGGGAGTTTATTCCAAGTGAGGCTCTGGAGGGGTGTTTATTGGAGGGGCCAAAGTGGGACATTTATTCAGATATATACAGTAAATTATTATCCTCATCGTTTTCTTGTAAGGATTTCTTGTTTGTTATATAATGATTAGCATACATGCTAATTGTTTTTGCTGTTATATTTGTTTATTATTTAATTTATTTAAATTTGTAGTCATGATCCCATCATTTTCATTTTTTGTTTTGTTTTAGAGTGGTTTGAACCTGTACACTGGACTGAATTTATTGCAACATAAGAGAAAGACAACACTTATTGAGACACTGGTTGTATATCTACAAAGTCAAATATCGTTTTTTAAGCTAGGAAAAGAAATGCTTTCAAATCAGACAACAGAGTTCTTGGCTAACAGTGTTGCAAGTACACATGAGTAAGTCAGCAATATTTTAAGAATTTCATTATTTGTTTTTCATTTTTTTATTTATCTTCCACACATGAAATGATATATTATCATAAATGTACAGATGAAATTAAAATAATAACTTCTGCTAGGTACGGTACAATTATACTAATATTAAAGAACTGCTATAATAAGTAAATTAAAGAAATAAAATGTGGCAAAGACAAGCCAAACCAGTCACTCTTCGCAAATCCTGTTTCAGAGAATATGACCAAAACATGCTGGAATGTCAAAATTTTTGAAATCTATTTCATTGTACTAAACTAACACTTATATATCTATATATCATGCTATGCTGTTATTTTCGCCATTTTAAATGTTAAAACAACAAATTTTAACAATTTGATGATCGGTTGCTGTATAAACTTTGAAGGCCGATTTCTGAAATGTTGTTTTTTAAACAGCTGTATGTTCAAACTATGTTTCAGAGATAATGGCCAAAACATGCTGAAAGTCAAAAGTTTTAAAATCTTCTATTGCACTAAACTAACTGTTACATATCTATACATCATGATATGCTGTTATTTGATAAGGAAATGTTGGATTTAAAATGATTCTTTCACCATTTTATAACTATAAACAATGGTAACCATAACAAATAAATCATGGATGTGTGGATGGGATTCAATATAAGTTCACTAAAGTTTAAGCCATGAACCCTGTTAAACATATATACAATTTAACATAATCGGAGTATAATATAAAATAATTTAGCTTGTAAAACTGTAATTAAAAAAAAATTTCATTAGCTTGGATAGTGGTTATATTTTCACAGTAACAGTATACTCTGTTCCTATTAAGCTAAAGCTGTGTAAACTAAACATACTCATTGATCACCAATGTTCATGAGATATTTCTATGATTTAGAGTTCACAATGCAATGGCTAGGACAGCAGAATCATGCCAGGAGAAGATAGAGTCGATACAGGCCAACAGTACGTACTACTTCACTCCAGACCCAACACCAGATATGCAAACACCAGCAAGGAAAATCAGAACAAACCTTAGACAGACATCTAGCTTCCTGTTTATTAGGCAGTAAGGGTAACAATATTATCTTGTATGTGAAGAAATTCCTTGATAACTAGACTAGTCACTCCATAGATTGCATACCTCCGTCTTGTGCTTGAATAGTGAACAATACGCAGGCCGTGTATGATTAATATTTCCATTATTATCTGACCTGTGCCTGATTAACGAATAGTATGCAGGCCTTGTATGATGGGCCATTCCATTATTATCTTTTATGGTCGGGGTAAAAAAATAGAATTTCCACGACCTTGACCGTATCAAAAATGTAATTTCTTGGAATATTATGTACCATTCCACTAAATTTTTGATGATCCATTCATTAGTTTTTGTGTAATCTTGCTAACAAACCTACAGAATGAAAGACGGAGTGAATACATAACCTCCTTGGCGGAGGTAATAATTGATATATTGAAACTTTGGGGATGACTGGTATTCTTCTGGTTACTGATCCAATAATTAAACGAGGGGCTGTGGGGCCGGGAACACTCACATTTTGTGTATCGGTCTAGACCAATTGAAAAAATAGCCCAAATCAAGACTGACCTATATAATTAAATAGTGATTATTTTATCAGTTGTTGTTGGTGTTGTTATGGTTATGGTTATGTAAGTATTTTAAAATATTATCCTGATATGTTTGGAGCATTTTGGTGTTCGCCTTATATTTATAGCCTCATTGTTAAGAATTTTTGTGAGTAAACCAAAATTTATTGTTTTTCCACAGTAAACATGGTCTTACACATCGCTGGGAAAAGGAATATTTCTTCACGCAGGGAACTAATCTTATGAGTCAAGCGAAGGGAGAGGTGAGAAACACTGTATTGTATGATATAGCAATGCGACATTAAATTTGATTACTTCCTGTTGGTGCCTCATGTTTACTTGATTCAGTGGCATATTTAGGGGATGTGCGGGGAGTATTCCCTCTCCAAAAAAGCTTGCATCCCCAGTCTTTTTCCCCCTATTAAAAATGTTTGAAGCAAAAGGCAAGTAGTTAAAAATCATCTTATTTTGCAAGCTAGCACTCCACTTAATCATCGAGCCCCTTCTAACGTCACATTCACGCCCCCATCAGCCCCGCTCCCCATTTTATAGATGAGTAATAGTGAGCAAGTGTGATTACTGACCTCAAATAACGGTTTACTGGTTGGCTGTTTCAGATTGCAGGTAGCCTTGTGGTGGACCTGGAGAATTGCACTGTCAACCACGTTGATGTGGATGACCGTAGATATGTCTTTCAAATAACCAGTCCCGTTGATACTAAGAAGTAAGATGCTATATAATATACAGATACTAAATAAATTAATTTATACATCACAATAACTTGAAAGTAAGTTAGTACAAGCAACACATTCTGTAAGATTCTTTATAAATGCGACATTTATGTAGCGCATATTGCAATAAACTGCCTCTATGCACTTTACATTATTATCCTTAGTCACAAGACCAAGCACCTATGGAACATAATTCCATAAGCCGCTAGAATCAGCACTTGGTATTGGATCCAGGTACCCACTTATACTCGTGGATGGAGAGAGACAAACATAGATAAAGTACCTTGTCCAAGTACACAAGCGACTTGCACAGCGAGGGCTTCGAACCTAAGACCTCAAGGTTGAGTGTTTGAGCCACAATTACAGTCCTTTTCCATTGATTTAAAAAAGTGAATGTGATTATTTTATTTTGCAGGACCATAACGTTACAAGCCCTGAGTGGATCTGATAGGGAGGAGTGGATGGCCACTATAAGGAACCTATCCAGTGGATTCCACACACAACAGCCTCCAGTAAGATATATTTCATGTATTATTTGAACACACAGATCTCCCTCTAATTAAAGACCGCTTTTGTGACCAGGGTTTTCATGGCCTTTAGCAGCTTTGGTCTCTAATTGTAATAATATGGATCAAGACGTTTGTTAATATAGGACCACAGGAAAGTGGTCTTTAATTCGAGGTGGTCTTCAATTAGAGGGAGGGGCCTGTATTATATTAATATGATTTAGCTGTTAATCTGTAGCTTGGAATTTGAATTTGCGGACCTTCAAAACTGATCTGATACTCCACTTTAAAATTAATCTAGTGTGAACACGGCTTAAGCCCTGTTCACACTATCAAATTTTCTTTGACAAAAACATGTGACATGCCTAAATATGGTCATGATGACATCACATCATAACCATATATAAGCATGTTATGACTATATATGGGCATACAACAGTTTTTTTGTGAAAGAAAATTTTATAATCTAGACAGAGCTTTACTCTTCATAGTGACACCATCAAAGTAGGCCTGTATTTCTATTATCTTGAATTCAAATATCAAAATATTTTGAATTTCAGGTTCTGTCAGAGGTCCCAACAGGCTCAGTACCATCAAGACCACAGAAAATTCCAGTACTACATGACCAAGATACACAGAGGTAATGCCGACATTTACAACATTCATTCAAATGTTTAGGACCTCTTAATATTTGCTGATGTGATGTCATGACCATAACTAGGCATGTCACATGTTTTGTCAAATAAAATTTTATAGTCAGGATTGGTCTTTATGTGCATTTTATCTTTAAGTATTTCATATTTATATCCATATTTACCGTAAATGCTGGAATAAGCACTGCACCAAACGCGATTTTTTTCTGCTTAGAGCCGCGGCACTTAATTGCTGCGAAGCAGCCAATTCATATTCTTGACAGCAATTTGACCTCTGAAAGGTCATTGTTTGTCAAAAAACAAGGGCCTAAGACGACTGAAAAGCGGAGTTTCCTTCTTTCGTTCTGCCGGGTAAAATCAATTACTTTAGGCGACATTTGTAGACTAACCAACACGTACCAACGTCCGCATGTCGCGCTAGCCTTATCCTACTCTAGGCCTAGACTAGCTAGGATGGTAGGCCTATAGGTAGCCTTGAAGGGACGAAGGTCCCAATGAAAAATAACGTCGCTCCTTGATAGCTAACATTGTCTATTTAACATCACAATAATTCATTATTAGACCTGTAGTTGTTTTTTGAATTGTACTACACAACTCGAGTAACGTCTCGTATCTATTGTCGTGATGTCATGACTCGCTGACTCACACTTGCGATGTCTCGCACTTGTGATCAAATAACACACTGGCTCGCACTTTGGCAACACTCTTTGGCAGTCAACTTGCCCCTAGAAAACCCGCTCTTGGAAACTTGCCCCATAAAAAAATGTACACTTCTTAGACCATGCAGTCTTCAAAATAAAAATTGTAACCTTTGGTAATCAACTACATTTTCCACATACATAGAAATTTTTGAAACTTTATTTAAAAAAAACCTAAACCATAATTCACCACTATAGACACTTTTTGACAAAAATGAAAAATTACGACTTTGTTACCCAATGAGAAGTGTTCTAATGTAGACAATGGGTCGTGTCTCATATTATTTGTTATATTTTTATTATTCATTATTTTCACTTGACTCGCATAAATAATTTTGTTGGAAGAACATTTATATGCGGTTATACTTTGCAGCACTTCACTTGCAATTTGCAATTTCTAGTCAAGAGTATAATATTACTACAATAATAATAATATAATAATAATAATAGTATTGCAATGAAACACGTTGAAAAACAGGGTTTTAATTATTATATAATGCATACAGTGTTAAAATGAATAAAAGACAAGCATCATTTTATAAACAATTATTTACGATGACGTAGGAACGATGATAGGCCTACCGAACTACAGGAATACGTCAGATAGGTAACATGGGAACTGGCATGATGACGTTGCAGTTTTTATTAATATTTTGTTTATTTTGAAACAATTCTAGGCCCTATGTGTATTTTTTTTCTCATTTATGTGCAATTTAGTCTAGAGTGCATGGATATGAGAATTTGTTTTTTTTCTTTTTGGATAAGAAAGTTTTTTTCAATAAATTGGGCTTACCATGGTAATACCAGCACCAGTGGCCAAAACAAGAAAATTGACTTTTTAATATTTTGATGTTTCGCACATTATATAAGCTTTAAAATGATAGGTCATGTATTGAAATCAAATTATTATTGCCAAAGTTATGAGTATTACAGCTCCAAATGATCTGAGATGTCAGGTTCCTTAAAGATGGGAGGACACTGGCATTGTGTATATAAAACACAGCAGCCTTAATTTGTTTTCAGGGTAGACACTCATCAGGGAAGTAAAGGCTCCTCCAAGGACCTACCCGCGACCCCACCTCCATCTCCGCTAGAAGTAGTCTTACCAACGACACCTATTCAATTTGACATGATCTCACCAGTGGAAAGGCATGCACCACCTGTTAACAGATCACAAGCAAAAGATGGCCCACCCAGGAGAATTAACCCTTTCTGTGAGCCGTCGGCTGATGGAAGGGATGATAGTGGTGAGTGCATACCTCTGTTATGTGCCTGAATACTGAAAAATATGCAGGATGTGTATGATGGGCAATTCCATTATTTACCGCCCAGTGCTTCAATACTGCACAGTGTATGATGGGCGATTCCATTATTTTTGTTAGGCTCGAGGGTAAAAAAAATCACATTTCCTGGACATGTCCTTTGAACTTTTCTTTCCAAAAGTTAATCATCTCTTTCTCATTATGTACTTTTCCACTAAATTTTATGTTGACCCACTCCTTAGTTCTTGCATAATGTTGCTACAGGCAGATGGAGTGAATACATAATCACTTTTATCCTAAGAAAATGTATTTTATGTTTGTCGCTTTTCACCCAGGAATGTAAATTGGTACCTGGTAGGAGGTGATTGTGGGGGAATGAAATAGGGTAGTTTTGAATAGGAGTATTTCCAAGGTAGCAGAAGAGGTTTTTTTTCTATGATGGATACTGTGGGTAAAGAATGGCCAGGATAAAAAAAAAGCTTCAACCACCAATACTGGAAGTCAGATCCCTTACCATCTCATATAGAATAACCTATATTAAATACAGCCTTAAATATCACAATAAAATTCACACGTTTATTTTACTTTTAACAGTTCCTTACGGCAGTACGTTTAGCCAAATGTACACTATACGATTCTTAGGATCTGTGGAGATAAAAGGTGACCGAGGAGTTGAGTTGGTTAATGAAACAATCCGACAAATCATGGCAGCAAGAGCAATTCATAATGTGTTCCGCATGAGCGAGTCGCACATGATCATAACATCTGAACGAGTGAGGTAAACCTGATAGTTGTTTTAGAATAAAAGCAATCATTTATTTTATAGGATTAATTAGCCTCATAGTCACTATCACTCCTTACCCCCCTCCCTATTTTGTATACTCCCTATTTTGTTTTTTGCATAGCCAGTATTTTTATGATGTCATGTCTTCTTCACAGGTTACTTGATACATCTAGTCAAGCTATTAAAGCTGATTTTGACCTTAGAGATATTTCCTTCTGGGCAGCTCATCAGGAGAACAAAAGGTATGTACATTAAATTCTCGGTTGACTAAACCTGTTTGTAGTCATTATTGGCTTGTTAAAGTGTTGTACGGTTACTTTATTAGATGTAATTTTTAAGATAGTCACACAGTAATACTCAGCAGGTTATCAACCTTTCAAGCAGATATGGTTACTTCTGAAGTGTGTGTAATGAAATAGTCTGAACATTTTGTACCAGAGGGATTAGCTCCTGATGCCCGGAAAATCTCTGCAGTTTTGGGTACACACAACTGCTTGTGTGTGCTGAAAAAGTACCCAGAACAACATTCTTTTAAGATTTTAATCTTAAAAGAATTACTATTCCATCCAGCTCTTGTTGTGGATAGAGTAAGTGATCCTTAGGCCAGGCACTCCTTGCACCCAACTGTCATTGGCCGATGCGATTTTACGCAGAATGCAACATGCACAACGGATCGATTTTAATGACGATGTGTTCAGAGTGCCTCTGACAATCAGCAGATGGCATTGCACCATTTATCTCTAACAGTGAGTGGTGTTAAATTCATCAGCCGTCGATCGTACAACAATCGTACGACAAGGTAAGTACCCAGTGAAAGCTGCTATAAGTGGGTTTGTCCATTTCTGTAGACGATGCAGCCCAAAAGTTCCAGCTTATTCCCCACCTTTACCTTCATAAATACAATGAGTTTGTAAAATTTGTTTTTTTGAAACTTAATTCCAATTTTAGGTTGTTTGCTTTTATCACTCGATCAAAGTTCTCCAAGGGCAGAGGTCATCACAAGTTCACGTGCTACGTGTTTGAGAGTGATATCTCATCGGAGAATATTTGCAAATCACTGAGCGACGCAACTGGACTTGCATTCAACAAAATGTTAGAGAGGAAAACAAGTGAATCACAAGATGTAAGTGTGTGCATATATATATATATGTATTTATATATATCATTTAATATTTACAGTGAATGTTGGATCGAAGAAAATGATATAGTATAGTTTAAATTATTTACTACTGTTTGCTTTGGAAATAATAATGTAGTGTTGGTACCTGACTTAGAGATGGTGTTGTGTAGATTGAGTGTGATACCTGACCTAGAGATTGTATTGTGGTATAGGTTGATGATTAGAGCTGATGATTTATAAATTGAGTGTTGGTACCTGACTCATAGATGGTGCTGTGGTATAAACTGAGTGTCAGTACCTGACTTGATGATGTGGTATAAATTGAGTATTGGTACCTAACTTTCACATGGCAATGACATATAAATTCAGTTTTGGTACCTAACTTGATGGTGATGTATATAAATTGAGTGTTTGTACCTAATTTTCACATGTCAGTGAGGTATATATTTAGTGTTGGTACCTGACTTGAAGAGAACAAGGAGGTATAAATTGAGTGTTGATACCTAACTTGATGATGATATACTATAAATTGAATATTGGTACCTAAACTTTCACATGGCAATGAGGTATAAATTGTTGGTACATGGCTTAGTGATAATTTTACTTTTAATATGTACATAAATCCTATTTATTAGGAATTCTCTAAATATCGTATAGGAATCCTATAGAAGTTTCATAGGAATCCTGTAAGCGTCATTATGGTTAACATTTTGATGATGTAAAAGTTGCATTGATAACTTGTAGTATTCACTTACATTTAAGAGATGCTTTGTTATATAACAATATATTATTATAATATTGGTTATATCTTACACATAACACATAATTTAATGCAGCACATTGTGTTGTGGTGGAGGAATCTTGCTTGTCTTTTCAATGAGGCTGTCTTTTTTTAGTAGATTTCTCCTGATTTAGTGCTTTTGATTTTGTAGTTAGAGAGTTGTTTTTGATTAACTGACTAACACCTTAGTTTTTATATCACCACTTTTTCCACTTTGGATTTTGATATTTAAAATAGTTACATTACATAAGCTTCATTATAGGGCATATAGATTGAGCCCAGGGAAGGACTTTCACTTACAGATGGGGGTCTGTACCACCTCAGTTCCACCATGGTTGAGGCTAAGGTTANCAATCTGTCTCTTATACACATCTAGATGTGTATAAGAGACAGCAATAACATTAGTGATAATGATAACAAAAATGATGATGATGATGAAATAGGGCAGGGCATGCTAAGTGGTTTGCACTTTATTAAGCCAATTTGTACTAGAAAGTGCTATATAACACCAGTATTATTAATAATTTATCTCAACAAAATATGTTATCTCTTTGACTAATTACTATATATTCAAACTAATATAAAACCTTCTACTTGTTCACCTAAACCAATCACTATGAAAATATGTATATACACTTTAAACATGCTGGTTAAAAGCAAGATTCTATTGGCATAAATGCTTGGTTTTTGAAATATATATACTTTTTAAAAAAAATTTTATAAATTAAATAATTATTTTGTTTTTCTTTTGTGCATTATATTTGATGCACCTTCAGAAGAAGTGAAGCACTATTCAAACACTGAGTTTCCGAATAAATTACTTAATTTTAACGTATATGACAAACTTAGATTCTAATCATGTTTCACTTACAGTTTTATCAACATTAATACAATTTCTTCGCTGTGCACTTAACAATAATTTAGATTTCATTATTCTTTCAGCATTCACTAGTTTTATATTATTTTTAAGCTTTCACTAATACAAATAATAAAAGAAATAAACTAATACCTAAAACAATTTGACCTCACAAATTATTAATTTTGCAGATTTCATAAGAGCATTGGAGTCAATTTTTGAGGTCAGTTAGTAAAATCCAGTTTTATGTTATGTTCCCAAATTTGTACAATAAATATAATGTTAAATTATATTGAATATCATATGGACTAGAGCTGTAGATTAGATTTGCCTTCCAATCCCATGCTCCTGATTTCAATTTCTGTCAGAACCAGAATTCTCTCTTCAGCTAGAATTACACTACAGGAGCGTATCCAGGGGTGCAACTGGGTCTGAAGCTACGGGGGCTAGGCCTCCCTGAGAGGAGAGAAAAGAAAAAAGAGAAGGACATGATTCTTGTGGAAAATCACTTGCTGTTGGATTGCATATGGAATTTGTAGCTTTGTAGTTAGTTGCTTGTCTTTATTCCTCAAATTTAAGTTTCTGGTTTCAAATATTGAAGAATTAAGTGTTCTTTTTCTAATAAATTATTACAATCCCAATATGTATCCCTCATACTAAGGCATACACTCAGTAGAAAATAGTAATATATTTTAGGACTACTTAAGCACAACCTTGTTGGTACATATTACCTGTATTTCTTGAAGAAGTCAACATTTTGATTAGGTTTCTTGAATTTACAAGTTTTGTAAAATGTTGAATAGGATTGAACGGATATTACGAAATTATACGCACAGAATATGTCTTCAAGACTCAAGATTCAAAATAACTTTATTGCAAACTTAAGGAAAATTTGAAATGTACAGAATAATTAATAGTAATATACAAATATATATGGAACATTTAAAATACTGGATGAACCATAGTTGTATCCATATAATTTGTGCTGTATCTGATGTATTTCTTCAGCTTATAACTTTGATAACTATCTGTTCTTTTCTTGATTCATCATCATCATTATCACCACCATGACATCATTTATCATCAACATTACTTTCATGATCAGGGGTAGGTCCAATAGGCACATCTCCCCCCCCCCCCATTTTTCCACTAAATTTTAAAATTTCAATGCATATGTTGAAATTAGCTCTACTATCTATTCTGAATATGTTGTGCCCCCCAAAAATTCTGATCCGCCTCTGATGGTCATAATCATATATACAACCAACACGTCTACCATAATCATTACCACCACCAACACCTCCATCATCATTATCATATATCATCAAAATATGCTGTTTATAATGATGCTGCTGTTCATTAAATACACTAGCAGTGTCACTGTAGTCTGTAAGCGAGATACTATACCTAGATAAATAAATGGAATTGTCCCTCATTGCATATAAAAGGGCACTAGATCATACAGACGTCTTCAGTTGATCCCATTATTTCAGGGATGGAACTTTGGCATTTGTATTTAGTACTGTATGATGATGATACTACAGTATAATAATTTAATGTTAATAATGATAATAATCATAACAAGCAATTCAAAGTGTTTGTATCCAGTAAATATTGCTTTGATGGTTTTTAATTGCAGGGGTCTTTATTATAGGAAAACCTGTGAGAACAATAATATTGTTCTTGGTAATGATATTAATGCTTTTCTGATGATAGTGCTAATAATGATTATGATTGTTTTTTATAATGATGATAAATGGTGATGTTTATGATGACAATGAGAAGATGATATAGTAGAAATTGATATGAAGTTGATTACAGTGATGAGAATAATAGAAGAATAAAATTTCTGTGGGTATTTTTTACTTAATTTATGATTCCTCTTTCTAGACATGTAGAACTGAAGATAATGGAGATGGCAGCACCCAGTCATCCATCGAGTCCTCACCTTATTCTGACCAATTCTCTGACTATCTTGGCATGTCAGGGCTTTCTCGTAGTTCTAGCCAGTCACCCGAGAGTAACCTGTCTCCTAGCAATCACCCTATTAGCTTCCCAGAGTCCAGCAATGGTAGAATGACATCACCTGTAGTGATCAACCAATCAGACGTTTCAAATGAAGGCACATGTGAGATAGAATCACAGGGGGAATCATGTGCCTAATGTATGTTTTGATACCAAATGGTTTTTTCTTCAGTCATTCTGAATGTGCGCTATCTGCTGTTGATATCGGAATTAGCCTCCAATAAAGAGGCTATTGAGTTTGCCTTTGATCCTCATATCGTTGTTATTAGTGATGGTTTGAAGTGGTCAAACAGGAGGTGGATGCTGTGCAAAGCTAGGAGCAATTTATTTTACTGTATTTATTTATTCATTATACTGTGGAACCAATTCAGTAGGAAATCTACTGTTCTTCCACAGGCCCTAGTTAATTGCAGACTTGCAGTCACTTTTATCTATCACGTTGACACTAGGGAGCTTTCGATTTGTGCGACGATGCGACGCTAGAACGGAATCACTCATGCGTGACCGTCCTACCTGGTGTCCTATGTTCTCTGCATACGTAGATTTTCCCAAATTGCATTCCAAAATCTACTCGACGAGGTGACCTTAACGTTTTCGCATGCGCAGATGACTTTTTCTGACGTCATTACGTTCTACGTCCTACCGTCGTCATGCAATCGAAAGCTTCCTAATAAAACATCTGAATCCCTTTATCCTGTGAGTGGCAAGGTGGCTCCATTTACATGGTCATACGCTGACCATTAAAATGTAGGCCTAGGCATACAGTTGGATCCAGGATTATGGGTGCTGATTCGGAGTTCGTTTAAGTGATTTCATTTTAATAATATTCATATTAATAATATATAAAATAATATAACTATATATATATATGTATGCCATTCATTATAAATTCTTTACAACTATCATACAAATCAACTATAAAAGGACCAATTATAACTCTTTAAAAGATTATATTCTTGCTGCCCCTTGTGGTCTTGATTTCCTTCATAACACAAGCTCCGACAAAATGAGAATGCCCAATCAAAATTATTTATACAAAACCTTCATTGTATATTCCAATGCTTGTATTCTACCTAATATTTCAGTGCAATTCTACTTAATATGGATTTTAAAAAGGCTTTTTAATCTTTATTAGAAACTAAACAAGAGAGTTGGAACAAGAGTAGCAGATCCAGAAATTGGAAATAGAGGGGGGGGGGGACCTTTCAGAGATGAACGGTCTTTGCCACCACCAACTATAGTGGGGACTAAGGCAAGAAAATTTATGATTATGGCACCTCTAGATGGCCAGAAATGCCCCTCACAGATTTAAAATTCGAATTTAATTTTCTTTCTTTCTCCATTTTTTTTTTTATTTTGAAATATTTAGGGGGCCCAGGCCGGCTAGGTCCTCCTCGAATTCGCCACTGAACAACTTAACATTAGATCCCTGCTACAATTCTATAATAGAAACATGGTATTCTGCTTATTTTGTTTATTGTTCCATTAAAAGGGAAATAAAAAATCAGAAACATTTATATTATATTTATTTCAAGCAATACACAAACACACAAATCAATAACAAAGCCTAAGGATTACATATTAAAAAACGATTTTTAAACCAAGTGCCAGGGTATACCCCTGCCTTAACTGCTTGGCCACTTGCCTTGCTCAAAAAATGATTTCCAAACCCTTTTTTAACATCCACCCCATTCTTACTTCTACCACCCTCTCACCCACCTTCCCACCATGTTCCAGAGGTAAACTTTTGTGACTGGCTCTAGCAAAAACAGACTCTTGTTTCAAAAAATGATCTTTGTAATGTAGAGGTCAAATGCTAATAATAGATGCAAAAATTGTTAAAAACAGATAACAAATGGCGAAGATATGATCATTTTAATTTTTAGTCCAACATGCATTAAGATGGTCAATATATGGGAATTTTAGCTGATTTGAAGCCATTTGATTGCTAGAGTCGGTAACATTTTTTAAAAAAAGCATTGATTACCATTTTGGCTATTGCACTAGGAAGTTTGTTAATTTCTGCCACTGTTGTCTTATTGGTATATTCAGTGGATCCTTGAACCTGAGAAATTGATTTAATATAGTACTGGTTTTTATATGTAGAAGGAGGTTTAGTAAAACTTGATTCACATAGTATATATAAGCAACATGCATTTTGTTTTTTTTACTACGGCTTTGAGTAAACAATAATGCGTACCGAAAGCACATAATCTTTTAAAAACTTTTATACAGAAGTTTGTGAAATAGATGCCTGATGTATGGATCAAGAAATCCAAATTTTACATTGAAATAACGTTAAGTAAATTTCTTTTAATTTTGTACATGAAAATAGCTAAATATATAATGGAACATAAAAGAAAATGAATAAAAGCAACATAATCAATTTCCGCATACTGTAGACATCTAATTTATACATAAGTTTATAAAATAGATGCCTGATATATGTATCAAGAAATTCAAATTTTACATTGAAATAACGTTAAGTAAATTTCTTTTAATGAAAATAGCTAAATATATAATGGAACATAAAAGAAAATGAAAAAAGCAACATGATGAATTTCCACATACTGTAGACACACTATCTAATTTATACATAAGTTTATAAAATAGATGCCTGGTGTATGTATCCAAATTTTACATTATAATAAAGTTAAGTAAATTTCTTTTAATTTTGTAAATGAAAATAGCTAAATATATATTATATGAAATAAATGAAAATGAAAAAGCAACATGATAAATTTCCACATACTGTAGACATACTATCTAATTTATACATAACTTCATTTATCGTTTGATGATTATGGATGAAATAATGGATGTTTCCACTAAGCCCCACCTATTTTATGTTCTTGATAAGGTTCCCACAAAATGACATTGTTAAAACATATGCAAACATGCGTGTTTGTAGAGCAGCACATGTGCTTGTTAGGGGGGTATGAAGGTGAAGTGGGGGACTCGATAATCAGTTGAGGGGTGCTAATTCACAAAATAAGCTGATTTTAGGTGATATTTAACTACTTGATTGTGATTTTGTGGTGGGGTTAGGGCCTGAGTAAATTTTTGAGGGATGTGCTCACCCCCCCACGCACCTCCTAGATACGCCACTGCGTATTCCTGATGACCCTGTTCGTATTGAACAGTTGTCGGGCACTCGCTGCCCTAGACGGTCATCGGCCAACACGATTCTGTGAAGAACGCAAAGCGACGACACACGTGCAATGGATCATTTTTAATGACGATCTGTTTAGACTGCCACCGGTAATCAGCAGGCAGCGTCGCATCATCTAGTGCTTACAGGGATTGGGTTTGGGTTCATCGTGCGAGGGCCGTACAACTCAGTTCATTGTACTGTGATTTATTTATAAGTTTTCATACCAATAATTTACAAAATGAAGTTAAGATTTATCAATTATTAATGTATTATGACAGTACCTGTTATGACAGTACCCTATATATTTGTATGTATTTAAAATACTGGGAGGATTCTGTTATTCTTTGATTAGTTCTGATCTGTTTCAGGCTATAACTCCTAATTAAACTTTCTGCTAAGCACTGCTACTTGGTTACTTGGCCTGCAAAATTTACATAAAGAGGTGTGTTTGTTTTAACAAGCGTTTATTCCAGGCATTTGTTTGATTTGATATTTTTAAGTTTGTACTTTCTGTTCCCTAGCCTTCCCTGCAATGGAGCGAAACTCAAGAGAGGCTATTGCATTTTCTCAGCTTCTTCTTGTCAGTGGTGGTACTAAATACATTGTTACCATAGTAACTGCATATGATTTCAAACTTGACAGATAACAAGATGAAGATAACGATTGTATTTAATTATATAAACCAGTATGTAATGTAAACAGAGCCTATTAAATTGGTACGTGTATTTAATTGTATTAAAATTGCACTCTTTTTCGGTACGATGATAAATATTCAACCATAGCATTATGGTGAAAAGGGCTATGCTTAAATAGGAGTAACTATAGTTTATGTTTGTACTTATGTTAATGTATAATGTCGAATATTTTTTGAAAAGTTATGCTTTTGATATATAATAGGAAATAATTTTATTTTTGGTAAGTTTTTAGCATTGTTATACTTCCATCTTTATGTAATATTATTATTATTATTATTATTTAAATGGTACTTAAATTGCACTGCAGTGACAGAGGAACAGACTTACCCATTAGGGGTTTAGGAATTCACCTCAGCCCCACCATATTTGGGGCTGAGATAAGCAAATGAAGAATAAGCAATTCTAAATATGTGGAATAGGCACCCACAGACGGTAAAAATGCTTTTTCAAGAGCAGTTTCCTCTGCAAAGTGATTGGCTACTTTTCCTTCAGGGTTTCATGGTTCCCTGATGGTGGTCCTGTGTCCCCAGACCCAGCTGATACCACCACTGACTGGCTGGTCTTACCTTGCCTCCTTGCTAACGTTATATAATGTATGGACTAAATTATATTATTGTATTTAAAACAATATTTTAAAGTTTATTTTTTAATGCATATAGATATACAGTATAAAAACATAAGCCTTTGCAAAGTGTTCAACTATTTTAATCAATTTTATATTATACACTCAGGAGAAATATAATTGTATAATCAATGTTTACCTTAGTAGTAGAATTTTCATACCAATCAGAACATTTAACCTCAATGATATGTAGTAGGCTAGAGTAGGCCTAATGATATTTGCTTTAAGGGCACGATTGTCAATAATAATAATAATATGTCTACAGGCTTTGTCTCAGAGCACTTTTCCACATTATTACCCCAGTGATTGGAAAATTCCATAGTTTGCTGCATGAAATATATTAGAGAATTTTTGCACTTGAACCTCCTCAGATACTCATTTATATTCCTGAGTGGAGAGAAGCAATGCAGATAAAGTGCCTTGCTCAAGGCCACAAGCGAAATGCACAGCGAGGGATTGAAACCCCGACCTAGAGATTGGGAAACCAACCATCCCCGCTGCGCCAAACCATTTCCATGTAACAAACCATTGCATGTAACAAATCAACCATGTAGGCCTACATACTATTAATTTTTCAGCTCCGATTGGGATAAATCATTTATCTTTATTTGATGAATTGGGTGACCTTTTGGAGAAAATTGTGCATGAACCAAATGTAAATGTATGAAAACCCCAAAAAAGAAAATGACACAAATCATTCTCTAGTCAATGATTCGTGTCAAACTCGCACACCCAAACCATTTAATGGTCTCCCAAAATGATCGTTCAAGTGAAAAATACTAGCATTATAAATTTATCAGAAGATAGATTGTGTGCGATCCTTGCTTGCTACCAGGAATGCAGTAGAACGTGCTGATTTCCGAGTCTTTTTTGACTTGCATAAACCTTAGGAAAATAGTTTTATTAGACTCCATTGAATTTTATATTGCTTAACATAGAAATGTCAGTACTGTTATTATAATACTTATTTTCACTATGTTTTATGTCATTCAAAAGTAGTTGACCCAGATGTTGTATTCAGTCAAACATTTCTGTTTATTTGGGGTTAAGACAATCTTTTGGAGCCTGCCATCTGCATTTTTGATGAAACATTGCCCTCTATGGGAATAATTCATCTGCATTAGATGAATCATCTATCTGTAGATATATAATAAATCATTCTTGATGATGCATATTAAGATCAAAATATATCTAAGGCAGTGTAGGCTTATACTTGAAAATTAACTAAAAGAGATAAGAAAGAAAGAAATTAATCACAAAATACAAACACTTGAAAAATCATTTCTTTAATTCAGATTATTTCTTGTGAATTTGATAATACTGTAAGAAAGGAGAATTTAACCTCTTCATTGTCACTCAGATTTTATAAATAGAGTTTTTATTGTATGCAATGGTAATAAAACTACATGTGTATCAGGACAGTATGTTTTAGTGAGTGTTTTTGTACTGTCATTATTTTAATGTATTTGAATACCTGTCACATACAGTAGAGTACTATGTCACACTGCTTCGTTATGAAGCAGCTATCACCAAGTTATCAATTACACACCTAATGTTTGCTACACAGTGGCAAATTGGGATTCGTATAGATACCGGCCCAGTAACTAAACGAGGGTGCTGGGGAGCGCTTAAGTTTTGACCCTGGTGTATTAGAGACTGTTCAATATAATTTTTAAATGTGATGGGATCTGAATACATACGTATATGTACTGTAGTTCTCTGGTTTAAGCCCATACACAAAATTGGGTCAAATTTTGGGTGTCCCCTTTTTAATCAAATGGCAGCTTTTTTGAATTTTTGGTGTCCCCTTGCATTTGATGTTTTTTTCTGAGAATATAATTTTGTAAAAGTCATGCCTTGGGCTTTTGCACAAGGAAAGGCTGGTACATAAAATATGGCATAATGTAAGGGGTGGCCTTATGCCCAAGGATCTATGGTACATACACATATACATACATGCATTCAAAATGTTGCATATATTGTAAAGGATAACAAAGTAAAGCATATGGATATGGCTACAAGCCTGCTGTTTAATAATTCTAATGTGCTTATCCCCAATTCCACTGGAAATGAAAAATTTACAGAAGCCTCAGAATAGGTTTATTTAGGAAGGGATTGCCCCTTTTGGCCCCTTTCCCAGTCCACCTGTTTCCCTCCACAATACTAAACCATAATCACCCCTTTATCCAAAAAAAAAAAAATACTGTAATTTTTGACTTAATCTTTGAGACGTAGTATATAAAAAACAATGTAAAATTTTAGGAACTTTTCAGATTAGTTTTAATTGACAATACACTAGCTTTTGGTCAACAGTGCTCTTCTCAGGGGTGATAATGAAAAATAGTGTAGGTATATCACCCTGTATTAGTTAAGTCTCTTCCCTGGTTAAGATACATAAAAATATAATGTAAAGATCCTTGTGTGCATTTGCAATATAAATAGTGTTCAGCAAGTTCTGACACTTCTACCTTTGTCCACACTATCAAATTTTCTTTTATAAAATAACTTGTATGCCCATATATAGTCATAATGTGCCTATATATGGCCATGATGTGATGTCATCATGACCATATTTAGGCATGTCACATGTTTTTGTCAAATAAAATTAGGTAGTCTGTACAGGGCGGCATTAGTCATACGATACACAGATCAATTGTTCCTCTTGTACGAGATGCAAGTCAAGTGATTCCTTCCTCCAGTTCATTCCTTATTTTTAATACCCGTATTAAGTTTTACCCAATTCTCTCGGCGAATGATGTCACCTGGGCAAGGTAGTCTCGAGTTCTGTAGCGATTTTTCTGAATGCAATTGAAGCAGGCGAGTCTGGATGCTTGGTGAACAAATTGCTCCCTTCTTCAGCACATGCTGTTAAATTCTGAGAAGAAAATTAATAAAAATTAAAGAAAGAAGTCTCCCCCACCTTATCCCAGACCCTCTGATTTTTTTTAAATGTTGATATTCCACCTCCTTCCACCTCTATATTCTATTTTATTTATTTATTTTTTTAATGTAGAAGAGGATTAAATAAATCCTATATTATTTCCTGGATGTAGTTTTACCTGAACTGAGAAGGGTTGGATAGGCCAAAACTGTTTTCAAAGTAATAACAACTTTTAGATACTACATTGCATAGTTTTGACTCAGTGTGCTGTAAGAAATACTTACCGAGTCAACAGGAATCTTGCCCAGTAATTTTAAACCATACTCATCAGCTAATTTTTCAGCACCGCCAGATTGAAATAAATATGATACCTCCTGCAAATTAAGAAAAAATAATACATTGAGGCTAATATATTATACAACTGTTATTTTCTCCTAGCCCTAACACCTTTTCCTGTACCCTTCCCCCTTTTGTCTATTATACAAAAAAAAGCCTTACCTGACAACAAGGGCAAACATAACCACTCATATTCTCAACGATTCCAATAATCCTAATGCCCATTTTTCGACAAAAATTAATCTCTTTTCTGATGGTTGTCAAGGCAACCTGTTGAGGTGTGGTAACTATGATGGCGCCCTCTGGTTTGACATTTTTCAATGCGCTTACTACTGTCAGATGTTCATCACTAGTGCCCGGGGGTGTATCTGGAACATAATCATATTATGTACATTTTAATTTTTATTAATTTTTTAACAATAAGCGGATATCATTGGAATGAAACAAGATATTTTGTGGGTGGGAGGCCAAATCCATTTTTGTGCCATACTGTTTGGAACACACAGATAAACAAATACTATAAATAGAAGCATACATTAATAAATGGATAGATAAATAGTCAGAAACTCATATATACATTACCAAACAAAATATAGTCCAATCGCCCCCAGAAAGTGTCTTTAATGAATCGTTTGATGAGCTGTGTTTTCCTTGGACCTCTCCAGATGATGGCATTGTCTGAGTGCTCTAGAATGTTGCCAACTGACATCACTTTGACATCCTCATGAGGTGACCTGCGTCATAATGAGAGTTACTTAAAATTGATTATAGTACTGTACATCTGTGACGGTGCCATGAACCCCTGAAGGTGAACCCCTAAAGAAGGAGCTAAAATTACAGGGCTCCCCCTACAGCTATTGTATTTTTAAACACATGTATAAGCTTTGGCATGGTTTCCATAAAAAAGCTATCGCCAACCGCTTTGGCGATGCTGATTGGTCAGTTGAATCAGGGAGTATTACGGACTGCGTCAGGGACAGCTACACAGTGCAACGATTGCAGTACCCTATATATACTCGCTTATAAGACAAGGCTAAAATAGCAAATTACAATAAAACAACAGGGGTCGTTTTATATGCAAGACATACAAGTTTTAGATTTTTAAAATTATGTCTTATGTGCAGATCGTCAGTAACATACAAATTTACTACTGCAATGAAGCTACTAAATGTTAGGATGAATGAACACAATTTTAAATATGGGAAAATAAGATTTTTATGAACATTTAAAAACTCATAAAATGGTATTATTCGGAAGATTAGCCTCGCATTTGGCTCCATTTTTATCCAGCTAGACGCAGTATCAGAACCATAAGAAGCAGTAAAACGTAGGAATTTCGAACATTAAGTAGGGGGGGTCGCCTTGTGCGCCCGACATACAAAAATCGCCCAAAAATCTTCTCAAACTCGGGGGTCATCCTATACCGCGGGGTCACCTTATACATGAGTATAGACGGTAAGTAAGCTGTAGCGATATGTAGCAATTGAATGGAAACCAGGCTTTAGGCCCTGTACACACTTATCAAATATTATGTGACAAATAAATGTCATATGCACATATATGAGTGTAATATGACATCATCTTGTCCATATACAAATTTGTCACATAAAATTATAATAGTGTTGACCAACAGCATGATTCAAGTGCTTCAAACCACACTGTGTGTTGACATATTATTTGACAAAAACATGTCACATGCCTAAATATGTTCAAGATGACATCACATCATGACCATATATAGGCATACAATGACTATATATGAGCATAAACTATGGACAGAGCTTAAGCCTTCACTCACTTTAAAGGGGTCCAGCCATATTGGGTGTTGACAACCTTTGCCCCTTCCACGGCCATCAATTTGGAAATACTCGGTCCACAGATGTCCACATCGACAAGTCCAACCTTGAAATTGTAATAATAAAAGCCTTACGTATTGATCTCATTTCATACTTTTATTTCTATTTCTTTAAATATAATAATGATAGATAATATGTTTGTTTTGTTTAGCAATACAAAGAAATTATCAGGTTAATCCTGTAACAATTATTTGTTCAAAGATACAGAATGTTTTTTTAAACATTATTGTCTTGATCAGGATTTGAACCAAGGATTTACAGTTCAGTTACAGATGCTTCACTAACTGAACCATTAGGCCGGATCATATCCCTAAAATTTTTGAACACTAATAATTATAAATTACCTTATTTGAATGTTGAGCTAAAGAGATTGATAGTCCTACAGCAATGCTAGACTTCCCCACACCTAAAAATTGTTAGACAATAGCACAGAAATGTATTAGAACTGGCAAGTGGCATTTATATGGTTCAGTCCCATTGGACATACCAAGCCCACCCTTGTCAATAACTCATTGAACAAAAAAAAAAAAGACGTTTTGGCATATCACACTCTGAAACATCTCATCAGCTAACATGGTCTAAAGGACTAAAATTAGCTGATAATGCAGCAAAATTACAGCACAAACCTCCTTTTCCTGAGAGAATCAGAATCTTGTATTTAATTGCATTCATTCGGAGATTTATCATCTCTTGATCAGGGTCAACACCCCCTAGAAAACAAACAACAATGAAATGCAATGCATATTTATGAGATAAAAACACTGGAAGCAGTGTTATATTATATTATATTATTATTATATAAAAAAAAATAATTTTTATTCATGAGAAAATTTAGTACAGTACGACAAATTTTAATTATTGTTTTTTTTTTTTCCTTAATTCAAATCAACTGCAAAAAAAGTTGGGTGGAGACAATTATTTTTGTTGTGTTGAGTAATGAGTATTTCTTATTTACCCTACCTTGTTTTTGGCACAAGGCCTTTCCTGGGCAACCATCACAAACTTTTGCCCTACCAGCAAGGCTCTGTAAAATAAAATAGGAAACAACATTGTAAATAATTCTGAATGAAAACTGGTTAACCTTTACCGTATTTATTAGTGTAACTGAAGGAAGTCAAAAGATTTTGAATATTTATTTACTATTTCCTTTTTCAAGCTCGTAAATTGGCAGGGTATAATATAATATAGGATTCATTTTAATTTGTGCCTGATAAACTAAAAAACTAAAGTTGTTGTATAATAACAATCTCCACTTTTAAAACAGCAGCACACAAGAACGGTGCATTCACAAATATTGAACATTTACAAATATACAATATATGAAAAAAAAAAAACAGAAAATTGACATAACCACAGTCTGGGTAAAATTATACTGATATAGGTATTAGATACTAAAACATTGTGTAAAAAATGACTTAGATATTAAATAAATATTGAATATTAAAGAATTGAATATAAACGATTTAATTCAGACTTGAGTTTGAAACATTTTAAAATATTAATAAAATTTTAAAACATTTAAAAACTAGCAGTGTACGTTTTAAAAATATAAATCTTTGTTTGAAAGCTAAATACAGTATTTGAATTATTAGTTATTACACTGACTTATTTAGTTTCAGAATACAGTAATATTAAATTTCTAAAACATTAAAAAAATAAAATCGTATGGTTTTAAAAGTGTATAAAAGATAGGCACTACCCGGACTAGGCCTACTGTTGTTAGGCAATAATAAAAGCTACAAATATATTTCTTTTTGTTGTGGAGATGAAAAAAAAAATTAATCCAAAAAAAATCATATTTTGGTGATGAACAGTATTAAACTGACTAAACTATAGACTAGTAGGCCTAGGCTAGCTAGCACTAGCTAGGCCTAGGCCCTAGCTAGGCCTAGGCCCTAGCTAGGCGGGTTCAAGAATTAGGTTTGGCCTAGGCCTAGTGGATTTATGCTAAATAAAGCAAACAAATTTAATAAATATTAGTTAATTAATATTTAAACGCACGGATTCTGATGGGCAACCCATGCCGCTATTATAGTCATCATCCATCAAGCAAATGTATTTTGGCCACGTTTCAATGTTTATTTACATTCCTCCTGGTCGACCTTGACCATAGAAATGTCGAGAGCGAGGGTACGTAAAAATGTCATGCAGTTTCCCTGTTTCCCCAGTAAGTCTGTCACCCTCTATTATTACACTGGAACTGAGGGCGTATTTCACATTATAATAAGGCAAAAAAAAAAACCCCAAAAAAAACATAAATTGTTTGTTTGCCCTTCATTAAAAAAAATGATAAATAGGGGCAGGTGGATCGAAAAAGTTCTTTTATGCTATTTATTTATTTATTTTTAAGATACTCATCAGATGGAATAAAAATAAGCGACAGAGGTCTAGAATGGCAATATCTTACATCAGAACAAATTTAGACTAATTTGTGGGCATCGTCAAAAAATAAAGATAAAAAATTCAATCACATTTTCTTTAATTTGTAAAGAAAAAAGCTCCGACGAGGGCAGTATAGGAAGATAACAATTTTAAATATTTTTAGATATGTTTTAAAACTGATTTTTCTAAGACAAAAAAAACAAAATTTGACGAAAAACTCGGAAGCGGTAAATGAGAGACTTTTGAGTATTTAAAAACTGGGGGAAAAGGCTGAAAAAAGGGGGTTTACGCTCCTTTTCCCCCAGTTTTTGAATATTCAAAAATCTGATTCTCATTAACTGCTTCCAAGTTTTTCGTCAAATATGCATTTTTTGTCTTATTAATTATACAACATATCAACAACAGCAAAAAAAGTTTTCCTCGCGATTCGAACTCACACCTTACGTTTCTTAGAACACAGTTAACCAAACTCGCCATCCATGCGACGTGTCCTATTTGTGGAAATGGCACTAATGTACAGTCCTTGCTGAAACCCCTGTTTTGTTTTCTAGGTGTATGGGTGCACGCTGGGGTCCAAATAAACGTGTTTTTTTTGTTTTGTTTTTTTGTTGTTTTTTTGTTGTTTTTTTAAACTTCCTGGACGCTTTTAAAGTTATGGTAACAATAACAACGTCATCACAATGTTCTCTCTGATATAATTCTTTGTAGAATTACTTAATAAGAAGATTTTTTAAGACAAGATATCTTGTTTCAATAAAGTTTCCTATTTTTAAGTAAATTCAACCTCCGTACGTCATAATCACCACGTACATTACGTAGTATTACTTTTACGTGACGTGATAATTATCACGTACATGATAATAATATTTTTTTTAATCATATTTCTCTGCTCTGGGTCCTTTCGTAAGAAAACTTTCTTATGGTAAGAAAATATTTCTTAAAATAAGTATTTCCAATAGTGTGATTTCTTGTTTTAGTATGTATTTTTTTTTTATATAGGGGGCCTAGAGGAGATTGGTGGCGTACTAACTGTATACGTACAGTTATCTATCCACTCGTATAAAATCCTGTTTTCTTTAAGTGAATCTGATTAAAATCGTTGATCGTGTTCTTATTGATAAGGTTTTGTGAGTATTTACCAATCTTAAATTTTGCTTTTGGATGTTCCTGGCAGTTTGTCGAGTAGCCCAAGGCTCAACACAGCTTTGTTTTAGCGCCAAAGAAATACCCAGACAAGGACGATCAGTAACACCCCATTGATTACCCTAACAACGAGCCAAGTGGACTGTCGCTGAGGATACACTCCAATAAGCACAAATTCAGTTGATTGTTCGCGAACTGCTTATCGCCATGGCGACAACGAATCGTAGTAATGAACAAAATGTTAAGCCTGTCTTTATTAAAGACGACGATATTAGGAAAAAGGAAGAGGAATATCTAAAAGAGGAAGATATTTACTTCGTATTGAATACAGTTATGAACTGTGATCACCTTGTCGGTTTACAGAAAGTAAAAAAAAAAAAACTTATGGCGAGTTTATATCGATGATCACAGCGAACGTGTGAAGGTTATAACATCAGGACTTAACATAAGAGGTAAGCATGTGAACGTACATGACGTAAATCCTTACCTCAGCCAATGGTTGTCCAAAAAAGCTAGAGAAAATAAAATGCCACACTTGTAACAAAACTGGTCACATGGCAAGAAATTGCAAAGAGATGATTCAGCTAGATGACAACACACCAACATCCTCCCCTTACATAATCAACAATCCCCTTCCCAAATTTAAGTGTTTTGATTATATTCTTATTTTTATTTTACTGTATGTACAAATTGTATTGTGATGTTTATAAAAGATATAATAAAGAATGAATAAATGAACAGACAATTTTCATTTATCAGTTTTTATCATTTTACTTAAGCACATTATATATAACTGTCATACATATATGCTAATAATTTCAATAGCATAATTTATAAAACATGAAAAATGTATATTAATTAGCCTGCTTCTCAGTTTATCTTATCATTCTGTACAATATTACATTTAATTGATTAATTAAATTAACTTCTAATGGTTAATAAGAAGATTCTCATCTAATGGTTTATAAGAAATTTGCTGACGGAGGGGTCCGGACCAAGGCCACTACGAAGCCTTAGTCGACTGCCCGGAATAAAAAAAATAACTGTTAGGGTCCATGGGGAGAGTTTAATGGCTTGATTTGGTGCTTTTAGACCACAATTAGCTATCAAAAAAGCGTTATTTGGATAGGATTATTGTTTTGATTAATTGTCGGTCCGACGACCTAGTCGTTTATCGGACGACAGGCGGGTTCAGGTCCGTCCGGGGGGGGGGGGAGAGAAATGCTTCCCTGCCACCACTGCTCGTAATCCATAGGTCCTGAATCAATCAATCAAGAAATTAATAAATTTATCACACATTAAGATAATGCCCTCTATGCAAAAATAAACACCTCAATGAGAACTTACAAAATCCCACTCTTAAGTAATAATTGCATGTAAACTTTATATAACTGTTATGTAACAATATTGAAGTAAGTTACCATGTTTTGAAGTAGTGTCTCATCATTGCATTTGAATACACATGAAGCAAAATTTGAATTTCAACCAAAAACAGAAAACATAATTCACAGCAAACTATCACCATATAACTACCGTACATCTACGTTCTTAGCTTTGAAAAATTCTTTTTTTTTTAATAAAAAAAAAATAAATATTTGACAAGGTGTACAAAAAGTCTTGCCTAATCAAATTTAGATAAATCTTTCTTACAAATTGACAAATCAAAAAGTTTTCATTGACACTAAATATGGGCTTTTGCCAACCCCCCACCCCAAGAGAGTACAATAATTCAGACATTTAAGACATTACTACCCACATTTTCAGAGACCATATTAAAAGTTTTCACATGTACTTATTTTATAAGAAAACATTTTATAAGAACACTGAGGTTGAAATTGCATAAAAACTAAGGACAAAATAAGAATATTTTGAGCCTGAAATTGACAAGAAAATAAGAACACTAAGCCTGGGCAAAATTTATAAAATGTTGTAATAAAAAATGAGATTATAAAATGTTGTAATAAAAAATTAGATTTGTGATGTTTAATACTTCATCTTGTAATGATTTCGGTAGTTGATCAATGTATCTTTGGTTCTGTCCTATGACTTGCATGCATCTTTTTTGTGTCTACTGGAATGGACTTCCGCTTGATCATTGCCTCTGCATGTTAAAGCTTCTTTCAAGTGGTCTTCATCCTTAACTGTAATCTTGTCTCCAGCAATATAGTAACTGAAAATCCAAGTGTGTCTTGTAAATGTCTGAATTATTACACTTTTGTTGGGCAAACGTCCACCTTTAACGTTGAGCGGTCATCCTTCAAAATTCATCCAGATTATTCCGACACTTTTGACGACTTGTTATTAAACTTCATCTGTTTTATTGTTCCTTCTGTCCTAGATTTCATCCAGATTGTTATCCTATTTGAATAAAAAAATATTATTGTCAATTTGTGAGAAAAATGTATCTGAACTTTTCTTAGTGCAAGCAATACATGATTGCTAGGCCTTCAAATTAATTATTAATATTATTTTTGTTTACTTAATATTCAAGCAGTATATCCAATTACTGGGTGCTAGACAAAATACTGTAAATGCTCGAATAAGCACCACAGCACTTATAAACTTTGTGTACAGGTATCTTGGGCATTCCTGTAGTCCAGTAGTTCTATTTTAGGTCCTGCATCATTGTAAATAAATATAATATAAAGAAATGAGCTTGTCCAAAATTTTTATTTAAAAAAAAGTGTATCGAGCCCACGGCGGAATTCAATCATTAATCCACTTTACGGCGGTGGCCCACAGTAAACACTTGGGCGCGATAACCCCGGGTCGAATTGCCGTCGTCGGCGTAAAGTGCCTAGGCCTGTGGTGACCAGGACCAATCTGCTGGCAAGGACTGTGGTAGTCCTACCCTAATTGCTAAGCATAGTGAAAGTCAGGGAGGTATGGCTATAACTGTACTTATTTGTACGAAGGAAACATCTTAAATTTCAGGTAGGCCTAGGTACTACACCAAAACAAAAACGTTTACGTTTAGGCCTACAGGTAGGCCCTATTATTAGGCCTAGTCCTAGTCTACGACTGTACCTAAGCGTGTATGTGGTTCGAGAAAACGTTTTGCTGGAATACCACCACCTTTTATACCTTTTATTTTATTTTTATTAATATATTTTTAATTTTTTAATTTTTTTTAAATATATTTTTTATACTTTTTATTTATCTTTTTTCTCTCTTTAGATAGAATGTAAAACCGCCCTCTACTAATTGTGAATAATTAATAAAAATATTTGCATATATCTAATTTGAATATTTTTATAATCTTTTATTGATTTTTTCAAATAAAACGGACAATTATTTTGAAAATTTAATAAAACTTTATATATATATAGTTTGTATGCATATATATGCTGTCTCTTATACACATCTAGATGTGTATAAGAGACAGATATATATATATTCACAAGACCAAGGACACCCTATTGCTGTATACTGTAACTGACTTGTGTACATAATCTATTTGCAGGTATGATTCCATTGCATTGTGGGTTCAAGATGATTGATTCACCTGATAAAGATTATGGTACAGTAATACAATAATCTTTTTTTTAAAATTAAAATATATACAATACTAATAGTATATTTACATATATACTGTATGATAGTATTTATTTCAACAATTATTTTGGTTAATTTTTAACATTTTTCAATCTTTTACAGATATGAAGAGAAGAGTTGACTGAAAGATACAAGAAACTAGTGTCTTAAACAACATTCAACCATAATGAAATATATATTTTATATTATATAATGATAAAAAATGAAGTCATTGCTCTGTAATGCCATCTAGTGTGAACTGTGAACCCATATGCAAGAAGCCGAGATGCTTTTCAGATTTATTTTAACGTAATCAAGGTATTCGTAATGTTTATGAACACAATATCTTTTAATAACAGTAATTCAAATACTGTACGTGATTGACTGATGAAGTAGATAGGCCTATGGTATATGTATTAATAAATTTTATGCTGTGTTATGCTGTATGCCGGTACAGAGACAAGAAGACTGGAGGTAAGTGGGTTGGTTATTTACTCAAAGAAAAATATGCTATCACCTATTTGTAAGCGTAATCAAAGATCTCATAAACACAAGATAGCGTGCAAATTCTGTAATAATGCATGAACGACGCCCTCTTGCAAAATTGGGAACTTTTAAACCTTGACCACTCTGACCATAACATATGCCGCGCGACTTGACGTTTACGCGTAACAATTAGAAGCGTCCGATTTATACTCTATCTCAGATCCATGGCAATGACTAGCACGCCCTCTCCCAAAACTGATTACTTTTTTGTGCCAAATCGACGTTTCTATATGTTACGCTATCTTGTGTTTGTAAGATATTTGGCGTAATGCATGAAAGACTCATAAAACTGCACCTTCTGCAAATAATACAATTTTATATATGGCGCTTCCCTCAAAAAACCTACTTGCAATGCACAGAAAATTTTTAAGGAACTGCCAAATTTGTGTTACTGAATAGAGCTCATTATAAAAACCTTATTTGTACACGTACACTACAACAATCTGACTGAAAAGCTCATTTTAATTTAAATTAATTTTTATCTTACGTTATTGCGATTTTTTTTTAACAAGATCTGTGAGCTCCATTGCATTAAATGAGGGCGCTGCTGATGATAAAGAGCGTATTCCGACGTGAGCAGTGCCCCATTTGATTTGGGGGGGGGGTCTATTTAGTGCATTTGATTGAGGGGTGTATTATAAACATCATACAAGGAACAAATAAAGAAAAGAGAATACAAATTAATTTTGTGTTGTATTTATTTGAATTGCATGCACTTCTCTGCAACCCCTTTATCTATGATTATACAAGAATACAGCAAGCGTGCAAAGTTCTCACTCAAGCTACAAGTAAAATGTAGTTTACATTCCCAAACAAATCCCGACATGATGGCGTGCATTTCAATACTTGGAGTCTGTCGGTAGTAAAATCATGACGTAATTATGAAAATAAAATTTTTGAAAACGAGTAAATAGTTTCATTTTCCAAAGTATAGTTAATATTATACAATAGATTTTCAAATTAGATTAAATTAATTTTACAAAATTAACATGAATTATTTATTGGTTTAGATTGAATTTAGTATTGGCTGCTACCATATGTATGCATTTGTGCGTGTGTTTGTATGCATATATATGTGTGTGTGATATATGTAATATTATTATAGAAATATAAAAATGGCTTAAAGTGTTATTCTAAACTTAATTTGGCCTCCTTCCACACTTATTTTGTAATGTACTATTATTCTTAGTTGGTTTTACTATTAAGCTTCTGTCATATGTTCATGTGTGTGGAGAAATAAATGAAACAAACAAACAAATGTCGAAATATTGAATCCCGACATTTTCCAAAGTATAGTTAATATTATACTGCACTTATAAACAATATATATTTTATATCAATAAATGACTCTTATTTCTTCAAATACAAGAGTGTTTAAACAGTTTTCACTTGTGTACCAAAACAAAACAAAAGATTTTTTTTTTAATGATATCGAATGATTTCATTATGTAAACAAAAATTAAAGATAATATACAATGCATAAGAAAATATTCTACCTATCAGAAGCACCACAATGTTATAAATATAATTATATCACAAGTTTTGTTGCATTTTGAATAAGAAATTTAACACTTTCTTAACAACATATGAAAATGGAAAATAGAGGAGAATCTTACACATTGTAGCACAAGGTTTATAAGTAAACATTTCTTAATTTCAAATGAATTAATGTAATCTTGCCACAAAATGAATTTTAAGGGAACTATCAATTTTATAACAATAAAGAATTCTGAATTAATTTTGTCTCAATGACAAAATGAAATATTTTCCAAAAATAATGATATACAGTACTTATACTAGAGAATAACTAATAGAGAATAAAATTCCCCTGAAATGAAAAATACACAACAAGCATACAATGACTATTGAATTGAACATTACCTACTATTCAGAATTTGTTATACTTCTGGTTTAAAAATCAGGGTACACATTTTTTAAATTAAATAATCCACAAGTTAATAATTTTCAAAATGAACAAGTTGATTTCAAAATTTATTTTTGTGTTTTTTTGACATTAGCAAGGGACAACACATCTTTAAAATGTTACTTTCTCTTCGGGATAATGGTTTGAATCAGAATTTGTTTACAATTACTGTTTAATGCCAGAAAAAAGCAAAGAATTAACGTAATTAGATTATATTTTAAAAATCTTCATTGTGTTTTTTGATAAGTTTAGGTTACAGATTCTCGCAAATGTTCTGTTTCAATTTACATTCTGAGACTTCTATTTCAATGACTCAACTCGGGCTGTCTGAAAACCGAATGCTTATCATCATCATTGGTGTGGTATCATGCACCATTGGTCCTCACCAGTGGTGTGGTAACTTGCACCAATGGTCCTCACCAGTGGTGTGGTACCTTGCACGATTGGTCCTCATCAGTTTTGTGGTATAGTGGTGTGGTAGCTTGGCACCATTTCTCCTCATCAGTGGTGAGGTATCATGCACCATTAGTTCTCATCAGTGGTGTGGTATCTTGCACCATTGCTCCACACCAGTTCGGCACCATTTCTCATCAGTGGTTTGGTGTGTGGTACCCCACACAATTCTTCCTCTCCTGGATGAGAATGAAATAAAAAAAATGTAGAAACCTTTCTAACAAACACAAAATTGTACATGTATAAAATATACACAAAGAAATATATCAGGAACAAAGTGGTAACCAGTGCTGTAAGATAATAGATACTAAAATTTCCAAAAGGCAGTGAGCAGAATGAGGTAATCTTGCAAACTGTGCTGTGCTGGATATTTTCCGTAAGATCTCGTAAAATGAGCAATGAATGTTAAAGATGTATTTTCTCATGCTAAATACTTCTAATTTCGCATCACAAATGAAGGCCCCGACTTCAAAATTCGCTCAAAATCATAGTAGTATAAGCCCTCTCCCTCAGAGAGTGGGCTAAAAACATAAAAACGACAAGATAACCTCGTACATAGTAGAAAATATGGATATTAACACTAGCCTGTGTGCAGATGAATTGTGGGAAGTCTACACTGAAATAGACATTTATTGTGCATTCAAGAAATGGATGGTTATTACTAGATGGATTGTTTGTCAAGAAGATTAGTGATGTAAGTTTGTTTGTTTGTTTGTTTAATTTATTTCTCCACACACATGAACAAAACAAACATACATACATAACGAAAGCTTAATAGTAAAACCAACTAAGAATAATAGTACATTACAGAATAAGTGTGTGGAAGGAGGCCAAAATAAGTTTAGAATAAAACTTTATATATATAGAAATCCAAAATATAAACACAAAATAAATATATATATATATATATACATATATGCATACACATACATACACACAAACATATATATATATACATATATATATATATATATATATATATACACATATACATATACAGTACATATATATATATACACATACATATACAAACAAACAAACAAATAAGAATGACCGACAGACAGACAGGCAGACCGACCAGGAGACTTACCGGCCATACTCCGAGACCAGAGACTTTTTAAGATTTTATTTAAAAGAGTTGAGATTAGGTAAGGATTTAAAGGAAGTTTTTAAGAAATTCCATAATTTTGGACTAGTGTAAAATATGGATTTTTTTCTAGAAGAGGATGTATATTTTTCAAGTAAAAAGTATTATGGTCATGTATATCAGCCTGTTGTTTTGGAAATAGATTATGAATATGTGGGGGTAATGTTTCATTTCTAAAGTGATACATAAAAACATAGTTTTGTAATTTATGCAAATCAAATACATTTAAAACATTAAATTTGTAAAATAAAGGTTTGGTATGGGAAATACGAGTTGTCCCTGCACAAATCCTGAGAGCTCACTTTTGTAATTTAAAAATATTGTCAATAGGGGTTGTTTCAGGACTTGTCCAGGGACAACTGTAGCAGCCCATGATGTGTTACAATAACTGATATTATAAGGTAAGATTAAAGTATTATACAAGGATAAAAGAATATTCTGCGGAAAGTAATGTTTTAATTTATTCATAACACCAATGTTTCTTGATATAATATTTGTAATACTGTTATGATGGGATTGCCAATATAATTTGAAATCTAATTTAATGCCAAGGAATTTTGTTTCAGTTACTTGTTCAATTATGTTGTTATCAATTTTAATAAGAAAGGAATCTCTGCTTTTTATTTTATTTTTAAAAACAATAAAATTAGTTTTTGAAATATTAGGAGATAGCATATTTAATTTAAGCCAATTAGATACCTTACTTAATTCAGTGTTAATAATTGTAAGGAGATCATTTTTATTTTGGTGTGAATAAAAAATGTTAGTGTCATCTGCGAAAAGAACAAAGTTTAATAGAGAAGAGCAGTTTGGGAGATCATTAACATATATTGAAAATAACAAGGGCCCAAGTATGGATCCTTGTGGAACACATGTAATATTAGATAAATAAGAATTAAAAGAATTAAATGTAGTAAACTGTTGTCGGTTGCCAAGATAATTTCTAAATAAATCACATCGTTCAAGTTTACTCAATAGAATTTCATGGTCAATGGTATCAAAAGCCTTACTTAAATCAAGGAAAATACCGACTGTAAAATCATTATTATTAATTGCTTTAGTAATGTCAAGCCAATTCTGGACTTACTATTCAGATTATCCAACAACATGCAAGATTCACTTAGGCTGTGCTGAAAGATATATATATATGCTATCTAGAAGTTGCTCTTGCTGTGGTGTCACTTCAGCAGTTTCCTAATTAATGAATATTCATTATGATTACATCACTGTGATCAGCCCATGGTCTGGTGGATTATGCAAATGAGTCAACTAGCAAACAGCCTGTAATTAAAAAAAATGATATTAGATTTAAACAACAAATATTAAGACTTGCATTAATAATAAAATGGTTTAAAAGTAAATGTATAATATTAATTAAATAAATTATCCCTTAAATAACATTATTTCATATATATATTTTTATTTATATATATCCAACACCAACATCAGCTGGATAAAACTTCACTATAATACCTCCCAATCTAACAATATTCAGCCTTCTCGTACAGCATTCTGGTAGCATGGAGGATTACTCCTCTGTGCTATCAGATTGAAGATTCATGATTAGCAGAGTCATTTCCATAAGGTCTGTGACTAGGTTAGTGTTAATGTCCATATTTTCTACTACGTATGAAGTTCATATCTCGTTGATTTTACAATTTTTCTTAGTTGTGCAATACAATGTCATTATAAATGATGTTTACCTGGTATATACTAGGTATACATCATTTGTAATGATATTGTATTGCACAAATAACAAAAACTGTAAAATCGACAAGATAAGAACCTCGTACGTAGTAGAAAATGTTGACATTAACACTAACCTTTATTGTGCATAAGTAACTTAAGTTGCACAAATAAGAAAAATTGAGAGAAAATAATAACCACATAGTACAATTTTAAAATTTAAGATTGGTGGATCTTTTAAACAGCATTATTTTATTGCCCTATATGGTAAAGAAAATGGAAAAAGAAAAGAATATTTCAAATAATAATTATATACTAAATAACATTTATGAAAACAAAATTGAGATTATTAACTACAGTATGGCTATAAAATAAAACTCCTAGTAGCCTACATTTTTATTTATTTATTTGTTCTTTAAACTGGGTGAACTCTTCAGTAAAAAAGACTGTTTTCCCAGAGTGCCTAATATACAACACAGATAAAATGGAGAAAAATAAAACCAGTCCTAACAACAGAAAGTTAAAAAGATAATATATAAGAAAATATATAAATATAAAAAGTTAAAAATTCCTAGTCCTAAGATCGAAAGGTCCACTAATTAATCTCATATAAGACAGTATAATACATCACAATTAGATGAAAAAATTAAATGTTTCTCCACTTACAAGCAAACTGTATTTTTATGTTGCTATCCTCTCTCAATTTTACTACTCATCCTGAAGTTGAACACCACTGCTTCTTAACATTCTGGCTGCCTATACCAACATGCCACTCTACAAAAAAAAAAGGAACAAAATCAAACCTATACTCTAATGGCATTCTTTTATTCTGCTTCTTAATAATTAAAAACCAATAAGACAAATGATATTTACAGTAGCACATTTATGAATACAACTCACACAAATACCTTCGTTTTTATTGCAAGCAATTTGAAAATATATATAGACAGATACTGTAACAGGCATAATACCAAGTCTGTTATTGATAATTTTAATAATAATGTGGACATATTATAGAGGATGATTGCTTTATCATATTAATTTTGGTTCAGATGTATAAAAGTAAAGGAATAGGTAGGAGAGTAACTTACAACTTCCAGTTCTGAATAGCAGCCGTAGAGAGGTGCTTAATTCACATCATTCCACAAAGAAAGGGGCTGAATGAACCACAGCATATGGTGTAGCAAACTGAAAAATTAGAAAGCTATGAATTTAACGAGCGCATCAATGATGCAATAGCCCATTTGACAATGTCAACAAATTTGGGGGAAAAACATTTACTGCTCAGTTAACCTGTGGAACAATCTTCCCTCTGATATACCAAACTTTTCATTCCTTCAAAAATTTGGAACGGTTTCTTTTTGCCTCGTCTACACCAATTTTCACTTTTTTTTTTTAAATAATAATTTCTTTAAAGTATATTTCATATTCTAAAGATGTTTTTGACTGTTAAATAGACCTTAAAGAAGAACAATGTAAATTGATTAAGTATTCAGAATTAAAGAAATATCTCTATCTATAACGTTTGAGGTTGTCGGTGGAAGCTGGTGTGGTCCTAGATTATGTTGTTACTTACACGTCATTAACACTTTTAACTAAACTGCCGTAATTTGGAAAAAGGCATTAACTCCACTTTTTGAAATTTTTGGATTTTTGTTTCTATGGAATCCTATAGATGTAATCTATCATGTGAATTGATCATATACCCAAAAAAATGTCCAAAAATATGAAATAAATATTATATTTACGCATTAACTCCAATTCATGAATGCAGAATAATTTGAAAGAAGGCATTATCTCCAAGTAATTTGGAAGAAGCGCATTATCTCCACCAAGCAATGAACAGATCATAATGAACCAATCACAGAAGACAATTACGCATAGTTAATTAGTCATGATAGCTTGTAAATGCACATAATGCCTAGCTTTACTAGCTTGACTCCCACCAGGGCAATGTACATAATGTGCAATTTAGATTCGTGTACAATACATTATACTGCCTTCTGTTCCCCTGTTATTTATTTATTCACTTACTCATTTTTTTTTATGGTAATTTTGTTGTTTTTATGACATAATCGTAATTTTAACTTTTTTGCCTGAATTTTTTATATTAAATATTATTGAATAAAAATCCATGAATGAAAGGTTGTGTTCCATTTATAATCCGGAAGAAGTGCATTAAATCCAGTTTATACATATATTTAATTCATTCAAATAAAGAGATGGCAGTTTTTACACATATAAAACACATATTGCCCTGATAACCGTGTTCTGCCCAGAGGCATACCGGCTGCAAAAAAAAAAAGACATATTAAAGAATCTTCTACCACTAATGAGCGAGAATAGCAAAACCTTTTAGAGAAACATGCCTGGTGGCGATGTCGCTGATTTGATAGATAATTGAGCGAAAAATCAGGCCAATAATCGCAATAAAATACAGAAAATATCATTATATTGAACACTGATAAAAGTTATAAAATCACAATAAAAATTAAGAAAAGAATATTTCATTATCTTCAATGCTGGTAAAATGATGTTGACAAATAAAAGAGAAATCCTAAAACTCGTCTAACTTTGATTCATTTAGATTCTATTTATCTACCACACCATTTTATAGAACCTCTCATTTACCTCACAGAATATTGTCTTTAATTTCAAATAATAGCTTAAAAAAGTATAATTTTTGTATTTGGGCACTTTTTACATGATTTAAAATATGTAACCTCGCGTTTGTAAAATAGAAGTCTGTAAATTTAGTATACGTAAATTAGAGGTTCTACTAAGTATATTAATATTACTGTTCATAATATAACCATCGTATATCAATATCATTGTATTCTGATTGAATATAAAAATGATAGCAGCTTAATTTAAACAATAATAATAATTTTATCAATTTTTATACGTGTACAATACAATGACGACTCCTAAATTGATTATAAATTTATACTATAATGTTAATTTTAACTTACATGGACTAAATTTTGTGAAATATATAATTGACACTGGCATACATTATTTGTTTGTCAGAAATATTGTAATTTGGCTACGCAAGATACACATTTCACTGGAAAAACTGGAGTTAATGCCTAACTTCAGATTTTTCATGCACCATTGACGCCTGTTAAAATTTGGAATAGTGCATTATCTCCATTTAAATAGGTTAAAGAACAAAAATCACAATGAAAATTATTTAATATGTTTTTTAATTATATGTTTAGTAAATTCATTTCCAGTACAAAAGGCTAACGACAAACGAGTTTTGCTCAATAACTCAAAACTAGGATTTTGGAGTTATATGCCTTTTTCCAAATCACGGCAGTAAAGTCACCTTATGCAGTCATGTTCATATGCAGCATTATAGTAGAGATCTACTAATACTGTAATAGTTTATTTATTGTACAATAGAAGTAGCCATAGTAAATTGTTAAAAAAGAGTCCCCCGGACCCCCAGTGACAGTTGCCAGGTTGAATGAACAAGAACTTTTCTCGTGGCCAGCCTTCATGCCATTTGCTTATTTCCAGAGTAAAAAATGTAGATATCATCCGATACTTGTGGCATAAAATGATTATATTTCGATAGAATGCATTATTAAAAATTAGTTGCTAATCATCATCAGTGTATATATCCATTGGAAAATGAATGGCACATTAACTATAAGATTTTTATTTGACCCCACCACATTTGCAGCTCTCAAAAAATTAAACTGGAACAGGCTTGATACAAACCAGTTTCACAACGAAGCTATTACAATGTACAAGATTATGAATAATATAAGCCCACAATATCTTATTAACAGATTCAGTTCTAAAGAAAACCCACATAATACCAGATCTAAAGACAAACTTTATCTATGCAAACCTCGAACTGAATACAAAAAGAAAAGTTTCACCTATCATGGATCAAAATTATGGAATTCATTATCAGAAGAAGCAAAAAATGCTAAAGATTTAAAGAGTTTTAAAAATATTGTGTCAAACCTGACCAGTTTTTGAAACCGTAGATTTTATTATTTCAAATTTGAAATTGTTTAAAAGTAGTATTTAGTTCCTAATTTTTACAGTTGGTATGTTTTTACTTTTCCATATGTTTGTTTTCGCTTTCTTTTATCATATCAGTAGTTTAAGTACACAGCCTCTTGGAAGACCAACCTTTGTAAAAAGACTGAAATGAGTATCTGTGGATAAATAAAGTTATTATTATTATTATATTCTTTTTAAAATCCAGATGGGTGTTTGTCTTTGAATAACATACAGTAAATAGATCAAGATGACATTAGACTTGCCTAGTCAAATCCAAAATGGCATTGAAAAAAGGATAAAATTTGAATTACAGATGGCTAATTAAATTGAAAACAACAATTTAATATGTAAAATAAGATGGACTTAGAAATTATTCAATTTTGGCAAAGGTGACTTAGGCCTAGGCAAGTGTAACTGTATGTACAGTAGTTAATAAATTTGGGAATAAATGCTACCATACCACCTGAATACTGTGATATACACAATACAGTACGCAAAAGTTGAAAATGTAGAGAAAATGCTAAAAAGGTAAAAAGTACAGAATCATTAAGATGAAATTTCTGAAAATGATTCCTCACCAGGGTCCTTAGGTTCTCGGAAATCAGGAAGGCCTACCCAACTCCCGCAAGCAAGAATACTCTCCCCATTTTTATCACCAAGTAACTGTCAGGTACAAAGCAACATACATCCTAAGTTTACTTTGGTCAAATTTAAGTAAGTATTATAACTCTTTTGATTTATTAAGTTAACATCATAATTTTTTACTTAATTTAGTGTCCAAGATCAATCAAATTAGTAGTTAAAATGCCCAGGTTGAGCGAGCTTCCTGGCTCCCAACCAGTGGGACGTTGCTCCGAAACACGAGTTCTCAAAGAATTTTTTTTTTTTTTAAAGTTGGCAACTGTGTTGGGGGCAGTGGCAGCACTACCACTATTCGTCAGGGTGAAAAGAAAATGATTTAGCCCTATGTATTTTTTACATGTTAGTAGACTCTAAAATTAAATAAGCCCTTGAAACTCCTAAATCCCCAGTATTCAATCATCAGCCCGCTTGCCAACATTTTGATCCAGTCTGCGAAAAATTGCTAAAAAGTAAATCCAGCCAATTTTTAGAAAAAGTTTTCTGTTAGTAGAAATACAACACAGTCTTGTTTTTTATGAGTGCAGCTCACTGTATCTAGTAGTGTAGAGTTTTGACACGTGGAGTGGGGAGGCTAACAATAGGGAATACAGTAAATTGTGGAGTCACTGATATGATGCGATATACAACCGTTTCCAGTGCCAGCAGGCTTGGGGCATGTTTAAAAACACTGCATTGAAAACTAATTTTTTTTCCATTTTTTCAAACCATTTTAAGGAATGTAGGACTGGTGTCAATTTTCTTACCTCATCCCCAACCATGTGAGGGGGGAGGGGGAGGTGATTTTTGAGGTACTGTAATGCAGGCCCTTTTCAGAATTGGACTCCTCGTAGGGGAATTTCTAGAGCTGGCTTTGGTTTTAACTTCTTAGTGCATGAGTGGATGTTTTTGTGCTGGGAAAATTTCTAGTGGTAGAGTAGGAGTTTTCTTTTTTCAAAATTATAAAATAAAATGGGGAAGAAAAGAAAATTGTATTAAAATTTAAGTGCTATTTGCGACCATCTAGAGGTGCCATGCTAAATGAATTTCTTAAATCAGCCCCAACCTTGGTGGGGGTGAGGGTTGTATTTCAGTCTATCTGTGAACGTTCTTCCCTTCTATTTCGAATTCACTGCTAAAAGAGAATGGGTGTGGCTGAGATGGAAAAAATGGTAGGAGCACTCTCGCCAAGATTTGAATAAATCAGAATGCATTGCCTAAAAAATTTAAAGGGCGATGCACAAAATTTTAACGTGTGGATACTCTGCATCTCCACTTTTGGTGCTACTTATGGTGTCAGACACGATGTGGCATGAACCATGTCCTACAATTTAAATTTCATTTACTCGGTACCATTAATTTAATTTAATAATGCAAACAATAGGCCTATATGTACACTTAAATTCTTAAATTATGAAGAAACTGAAACAATTCATCAAAACTAATACCTACAAGATGGAGTCTGGTATACAAAGACGTGTACACACTAAGTGTTGATGTGATAAAGCTTAGGACACCCCCACCCCCCCGGAAAAAAAAAATCTTCCCTTCTTGGTTCAATCTCCAGTAGGAGTGTGTCTAGTCATGGAGCTATATAATTTTGTAATCATTGTTGAGTACAAGTTTGCCATTTTTTTTTCAGTTATTATTAGGTTCAGTATTTATAAATTCACATGAAATTTACATAATTTCAATTAATAAATGTTGATTTCAAGGCAGTGGACAGCGTAATAAAAATTAAACTAGAGAGCTAATAGCCCAAACCTCACAGGCATTCACTAAAATTTAGGTCAATTGCACGGAAATTAAAAGTTAAATCATTTACTATGAAATGTTGTAATGTATGTAAGATGATACTACATAGTTAACAGATTACTTGGAAGTGTAATCTGCTAATCCGTTATTTGCTATTTTTTGGATAAGCAAGTGGCAACTAATACACGATTTCAATAAACGAAGCAAAAAAAAAACATTTTTCATTGTGTAATGTTATTTTCCAGTTTCCTTCAACATCTTTATTACTTTTTTTAGAAGAGTGTAACTAAAAAACTTGTTCTTCAAATAATATATAAAATATAGTAACAATTAATATAATGGAAAGCACATTACATTTTAAGCAAGGTATGATATTTTCTGTGATACTGAACTACAAAATAGCACAAGTAGTCCAACCAGTCCAGACGATAACAGTACACTTTTGAATGATTGCAATGAATTAAGAACTGATGGAGACGAGGGTGCCGAACTGCAGATATTAGCATGACATAGATATGTCATCATTTCCGATAGGAGGTAGTGCTGTGTAGCTTCCTTTTCCTTTACCTAGCTGTAAAAAAATTTAAACAAATTGTTAATACAGTATTTAATATTCAAATAATATTGTATGATCAAAATGAAGACATACAGTAGGCCTACAGCTGGACAGCCTTGTAATGACTCTCACTACATATTTTTTATAGTGTTCAATAATACAGCACAAGATGTAGTAGCAATATTATAGTAGTTGGCCTAATGAATCATAGGCTAGTGTGTGTAACCACGCGGTATTTTTATACCTCCATAGAGTACTATACAGTGTTACGTCACAAAAACATGTGATACTACTCTGTTGCTATCGGCGACACAAAATGCGTTCAACCAACGCCATTTCTCATTGATCCCAATTTCTAACTATTAAGAAGTTGTATCTTAATTTTTCTTTGTTAATGTTAATTGTTGATTAAATGTGTGTTCGATAACTAAGGTAATGCGAGCTTTTCGTGTTTTTAGTACATTTTGACGGTAAATTATTAGGTTTTAAAATGCCTATTCCAGAAAGCCTATTCTAAACCATTAATATTATGAAGTCATTCAGATGTAACGAACGGTAACCAACGTCCAGAGGACGCCATGTGGTGTTGTGACAACACGACTGTGGTACTTTATGGTTAACTAGAAGTAGAAAAGTCTAGGCCTCTACTGCATCCAAACGTACGTCTGGGTATCTAGGCTATTCTACTACTACTTGCTAGCGGACGCGTTTTACTTAGCTGAATTCACGAATGTAAAACCAAGAGCCAATTAAAAAAAAGAAAAGAAAATGATGTAGTTTATCATCCTCGCCGGCATGTCTTTTTTTATTGTATAGGCCTTTATCACGAATCGGTAGACATCTTGAAGTGATGACAAACATTACAAATCAGCGGTGCGTAACCAACAGAAATAAGATAAGCTTTTGGGCGGATTTTTTGACATGTTATTTAAAAAATCATAACTCTATAACGGGGCGTCGTATCCAAAAAAATTTTCCAGCAAAATGTTCTTAAAAGACTAGTCTACACCACTATATGATTGAAAAAAAATTGAAATATTTTTTGACCTCTGAAATCAAGATTGAAAAATAAGCCTATCTCAGTAGTGTATTAAAATAGGTATATGCATTACAGTGCTGCAGGTTACTAGTAATACTCTGAACTAGCATTGTTTTAGTTACCATATGAGAGTTTCCTGTGTTAAAAACATGATATACTATACTATACCTCTTTATAAAACATAACTTGTACTTTGTAATAAGAGAATGTATATTATCGCTACTTGGAACAGTAACAACACGAAAGTCCTATGCTACTGCACTGTAATGCATTGGCCTATTTTTTTACATGATGTCAGAAAATCAGCCCAAAAGCTTACCTTATTTCTGTTGGTTACGCACCGCTGATTCGCAATGTTTGTCATCACTTCAAGATGTCTACCGGGATTATGACCGGTTGAGCCGCCGACAAGTTGAGCTGCCGGTAATTTCTATGGAACGCCAAGCGCGTCTCTCAGTGAATGTAGTGCGTCTCTCAGTGAATGTAGTGCATTTCAATTAACTTATTCGTTCTTGGTACCTTTCAACACTTAAGTTCTCGGGATCAAATCTAATATAACTTCCATCACAGCGGTGTAATCCGGGATGCTCTTTCCTGACATTATTACGAATGATGGATGAAGCACAACATTTCCAACGCCAATTTCCTCACAAAGTACCTGCTCAACCATCTCTGCCGCCGAATCAAACGGACGATCCAAGGCTTGTTGTTTAACATTCCTGCGGATTACTGCAACCTTTTCACGACCTAAAAATAAAATATATAGGAACATGTATACATAATCTTTCCGTTAAAAAACAAAATATGTGGTATGTAACAATAACAAAGGAAAATAATAACAATATTGATAATAGGCCTAATAATAATATGATGAAAAGGTAAAGCTTTTTATAAAGTACTATATAACATACCTGGGATATTGTCGCAAACATGGTTTTGTGTTCCTCGGATATATCCATCCCTTTCCATGACGGTTGCCTTGCATCGTGCAGCCTTCATGGCACATCTCCAAGTTATAGCTGGTCTCCGTTTATCCACCTTCAAAGTATACTCGTAACCTAAACTGTCAAACAATTTTCGCCTGGGTTGTGGATAAGGGTTTTCCAAATCATCTTCGATGAAGTCCTCCGGTTCCACAAAGTCACCTAATTCTGCTGCATATACGTCTTCTTGTGGCTCAACAGGATTTCTCTCTAATATACACTCGTTGCATGACCAATCAAGGTAACCGTCTTCCATCCCTTGCCGATATTGCTCTCGCGTTATCCTAGTCCCACATACTCGATGTTGCCACCTCTCGCACTCTTCACACAACACACCTTCTTGACGTTCAGTAACTGGTTCCTTGCACTCGATACACTCGTTCATGATTGATATTGATAATTACAGTAAGAAAAACTAATCGAAAGTGACAGTGTTGGCATTTTTGCATCATTTTATAAGATATATTGCAACAAAGGTGCGTTTTGAACACAAAAGTGTATTGGTGTATTGTTTTAACGCAAAGCATGCCGCCGCGAGCGCTGCCCATGGAATCACGCTCCGGTACTGCTTTGTAGATTATCTTTCGTTCAGCATATTATTGTCTCATTCGCACATACAGTACTTTGGAATCAAACACATTTTTTTCCTTTTCAGAAATCATGAAGTGTAAATTTAATATAAATTTAATTACCAATTCAATACAACTTTCAAATTTTCAAATACAAAACTTATACACTTTTAAAAATATGTTAAAACGGAAACCAAACGTAAATAAACACATTAAAAATAATCAAGTTATTACATTTTTAATAGGATTTTGCTATGAACAATAAATTTAAATGTGTTAAGTCTATGTTATTATACAGTATTTACTATGGTTTTGTAATTTATATATTTTTATTTTTGTACTATTTGTAAAACATATATAATAATGATAAGAATGTATGGAGTTTTTGTTTTTTACTATCCGGCAATTATACAACTTCATTTATTTTCATAAAAATGTAGTACATAATTTTCAATTACACAACTTATACATCACGAACGGCAATACAAGCAAATCAACGACTGACAAGACTGTGGGATGAATATGTAGCTGGTATCCGGGGCAAGCCGATTACATTCACTGAGAGACGCACTACATTCACTGAGAGACGTGCTACATTCACTGAGAGACGTGCTTGGCGTTCCATAGAAATTACTGGCGGCCCAACTTGTCGGCGGCTCAACCGGTCATATCCCGTCTACCGATTCGTGAAAAAGGCCTAGGCCTATTTGAAAATTTTTTTTTTTTTTTTTTTTTTAAATATTTTGATTAATAAAAAAGTAGGCCGAGCTTTTGTGTACTATAGCTTTAGCGTACTCATACTTTCGTTAGAACATCGCTGTCATACGTATTGTATTATTAAATTAAACTTGGGCCTAGCTAGGCTAGCTATCTAGCCTAGGCCCTATTAATTACTACTACTAGGGGTAGGCCTAGCTATGCAGTACTCTGTGGATAGTCAGAAGACGGTTGACTTACCTTGTATCTTTTATGATGAAAGCCTTGCATGGTTAGTTTGATGGTTATATTTGTCTATCAATGGAAGAAGAAGAAACTTATTCCTCTGTGGTCATCATTCCCGCTTCACCAAACAAGGAGAGACCTGTCAACAACAACGAATAAATTGCAAAACCCCAAATCATGCCTGTCTCATCTCAAAGCCAGATATATGTAGTCTACAATCCAGCCGCTGTTTGTAATAATTCTTCACCAGCTTAGAAAGGATTTGATTGGTCAATTATTAAGTTTAAAAAAATTGTTTTAAAAAATACAAAAACCACCAAAAACGTGCATAAAAAAATAAACGAGTGTAATGGATAGAAAGGACAATTACCTATAAAATTTGTATTCAACTTTTTTTTAATTATCTGAACACCTTAGAAAAGTTATAAAACATTGGAATTTTTAACATAAAAATAGTGTAAAATGTTTGTGTTCATCAATACCCCCACAAACCGCACGTCAACTGCATCACACTAAAAACGAATGAATGAGAGCATTTACAACTGTTGACATGTTTTTTTGCCGCACCATCACAATAGCCAGTGTGGCCTGTGAGTTAAAAAAAAACATAATTATATTTCTTTCTAAAATTTCCACTTTTTCGTGGTGGCGATGCACTAATTGGCCAAAAATAATTTTATTTTTATTTGGAATCATCAATACTTGCAGTCGGCGGGTCCGCTGAACAAGGCCATGTAAAATAAAACAATTGGTTAGCATCCTTATGTTATCAATTTTCATGGTAGGGAGGGAGGGTTTTTTTTTTTTTGCATCTAACATAAAAAAAGAGTTTCGCAAGGAAAAACAGCAAAAAAAGAAGAATAAACAACAGAGACCAAAATTACATACAAGCATCTATAGCAAGCGGAAACTTTACCTATGAATAACGGCGTCATAATGCAATTACCTCTATGTATTATCATGCACAATTCACTCATCAACACAACAGGCATCATGGATACCATAAGTGGCTACATTATAGGCCTATAGAACAACAGTAGAGCATAGAACTGCAAGTGGACTGGCTAGTGTGCGGATGGGTGGTAAACAAACCTATATTAAATTGAGTTTGTGATTGTAAATGTAAAAAAAAAAAAAAAAAATTGGGTCGGTGGCCTTTTTGATGGTAGGGAGGGGATGCTAACCAATTATTTTATTTTACATGGCCCAAGGTATAAAAAAAATTTTGCCTTACCTAGTGCAATCAAACTTCCAAAAGCCTATACATTTTCATGGACAAATTATTTTTATACTTAATTTTTAAATTACTGAAATTATGAACTTGTAAATAAATTATTCCTACTTTATGTTTATATTCCTATTAATCAAATTAAATACTAAGCTTTTTTTCCTTTTTTTAATTTTATTTTTTGCAGTGAATTGTTTTTAAATGAATGTATCACCTGGAAATGGAATATCATGTATGTATGTATGCCTAATTACCAACTGTCTCACATCGTGCGGGACAGTCCCGCATTTTAAAGTGATTTTGAATGAAACACGCATTTTGCAGAAACACATGCGTGATTGTAAACTTGTCACTCATTTAGCACAAGTCTATGCGTGATAACGAATTATCGCGAATTCAGGAGAAAATACATTTAAAATTAGAAGGTATTAGTTTTAATTAAAAATATAAAAACAGTCATGTAATAGTACTAGCTAGAGTCATTAGAACGCTTTCGTTATCTCGTGCGAGAATCAATTCACCGAGAAAATTTCTCTTTCCCGAGAATATAGGAGGTATGTGCAGTTTTGCGCGTTCATTGTCACAACCAACTGTTGATGATTATGTGAATAGGCACTTTACGCAACAGGACAGTAATTAAGACAGGTGGACGGTGGTTTTCTGCTCATCAAAGCGTGAAGACCACAGTAAAGAATAGGGCGCTCAAATCGAATGACCGTTCTCGACGGCTCCCCGTCCTCTTGCGTAAAGTGCCTACTGAAACGCGGAACCCTACCGGGGCTCCGCCCCTAGACCACCGAGGGTGCCTGGTGGCCCCCAACCCTCTAGCCAACTGGTCACGTCACATCTCTCGGGTTGGAAACTATGATGAATGTGATGACGAAAAGGATATCAGAATATCTATCTGAATATATTATATAATTAAAAAAGAGATGGTGAAAGAGATGGGATGATTGTAAAACTGCCTGAAGCTTGACACTTTGTGGTATTATTCTATTGTTAACGTTTGAATAAAATATACACTTTTTAGCGTGGCTCTAATATTTCAAGCGTGATGCAATCTTTGTTTATTTTGCTTAACCGTGGTCATTTCATTTTTTCGTTTAGCCTTTTTAGGCCAGCGTCCGCAACTCGGTCCGCAGACAAGATGGTGCGAGATGTCTAACGTGTTCGAACAACAGCCTAGCCTACCTAGGCCTACCAATTCAGAAAAGGATTCATTCACGTGGTTACATAATGAAAACTGTCCTCTACTTACATTAAAACCGGTCTTGAATTAATTTATACTACTGGACAAAACTCTACAGCAAAGCAAAAAGTTATCCCCTTCTACAAAATGAGCGCATGTTGTATTTGGTTGTACTGTACTGAAAAAATCCAATACGTAGTCTCTTCTTACCAGGCTGCTTCTTCCATGTGATTAAGTTCAATCTATTTTTATACAGTACCTCCATGGTTCAACATAAGAAAAGGAAAGGAATTAAGGAATAAGAATGAAAGTGAAAGACAGATAAGAAATTATAAGAATGTAAATGAAAGGAAAAGATAAGAAACTAAGAAAGGAAGAGAAATGATAAGATAACGAAACATAAAAAGGATAAGGAAACGAAAAATAAGGAATTTATAAGAAAGGAAATGAAAGGAAAAGATAAGAAACTAAGAAAGGAATAGAAAAGATAAAATAAGGAAACATACAAAAGGACAAGGAAAAATAAGGAAACATTAATTGGGAAAAAGAATTAAGAAAGACAAGAAACTTAAGAAAGAGCCATGAAAGAATTATTACAAATTACAGATGAAAGTCTCTTAAGCATTAGGCCTACTGTGTGAGCCGAGTTGACTATTAAAACCGTACAATTACCAAACTATTGTAATAATTTATCATCATCAAATTAATTGATAAACTAAACCAAACTACTGAACTCAAACAATATTGAATAAACAACTAACCGTACATTTGTAACTTTGTTTATTTGTTTTTTGTTTATGTTGTTGTTAAGCGCCTTGGGGTTGTGACAATGTGAGGAGTATAAACTATTATTATTTATAAAATTGTTTTTCACCGATTTACAGACATTCTACTAAATCCTTAAATCCATTACTAAATTTAACGGTTTTTGTAGTCAAATATCTGTAAATTATTTATTGGATTATATTTTGAACTAGCTATTAATTTTTTTTAGATGTACTGTCCTGTGTTTTGTGGTTGCACATTATTGTGAATGCACTGAGGCCCTAACTGAATTACTCGAGGCCCTAGACTTTTTGAAACGAGCTCGGGGTTGTCCAATTAGAGGGTAGCTTTGTGTAACGCATTTTAAGGTCCTTGTTATAGGGCTCTAATTAGATAATATAATTATTTCAATTTCAAAATTTTTCACAAAACCTCCGGACGGAGAAGTAAAATAGAACAATAACAGAACAATTTCATAAACACGGACAATTTTATTACATAAACCAGAACAATTGAGATAAAAACAAAGAAAAAAGTTTGCAAATTCTTAAAAACAAAACATTAAATCAAAAAGCCCGACCGTCCCCACCCACAAAAAAAAAAATTCAAAATGTAAAAGATATTGAGGAAAAAAGAAAATTCGTAAATTTTAAATCTAAGTAGTGTCGTTTCTGGCCATGAGGTACCATAATCATAGCCTAAAGTTTCTTACCTCATCCCCAACCAATTTCCTGGATCCACCTCTGAGGCGTTATGGGCGATCAATTTTTTTTCTTTCTTTCTTTATTTTTTATTTTTTTCAACCTTCCAAAAAAAAAAGTGGGGGAGGGCGGGGGCCACCTAAATTCTCCCCTGATAATTATCACGTACGTGATAATACATACGTATACGTCAGCCTAACTTTAGTTTTAACATGTCCTCTCATATGCGAGAAATAACGTTTTAATGGTAAGAAACTATTTTAAAATAAGAATTGTCCAATAGTGTGATTTCTTGTTTTAAGAAAAATGTTCTTATTTTATTAAATTTTACGAAGATCCAGACGGGCCATGAAAATTCTTATTAAAAAAAATATTACCATAAGAATTCTTATAAAGTTAATTCTTACGAAGATACAGAGCATCCCATGATAATTATCACGTACGTACTTAATAGTAATACCGACGTGATATAATACGTACGCACGTGATATTAATACGTAGGCCCTACGTACATGATAGTAAGTATTAATTCCTAATTCGCTACAATGACGGTTCCCCAATATTTTACCTCAGCCCAAGTGTTGGTATCTCTTTACTCGTCATGATTCATGTTAAATAATGAATTGTTGTATAGTGATAAATTTGTACAAACATAGGATACAATAATAAGTACGTCGTCATTCGCTTTGAAATGTTATGGTGCCAGCTATGTCAATATCATTACCACCTACATCCTGTCTCTTATACACATCTTGGTACCTTGAAATAATGCTGGACCGGCCATCGATGCATAATAGTGCTGTATTAGCTAGGCCCCATCTTTTATCACCTGGTAGATCTGTCTATGGAGGAATACAATACCTACATGGTCTGTCTGCCTTTAAGAATCTAAAACTAATTTCCATTTCGCAATGTATTAAATTATGATTACATTTTTTTATCTCCTTTTGCTAGCGATTCGCAACGAAGAAAACTCTAAATTGATAATTCCAAACTAAAAGGTATAGACGACCTAACGGCTTAAATAAGCAATTAGTCCACCCATCAATTATGACAACACATAGATAAATAAATTAAAAATGCTTTTAAGGTAATTGTTAAAGAACTACCAAAAGCAAACACATCGTGAAGACTTTTCATTCTAGAGTGGAGAAACAATTTAATGCCACAGGCATTCCACAAAGATAACTCAATCTTTAATTCCAAGAACACATGTTTTATGTAAATCCCTATTTTTGTATTTCACAATATCCAAAAAGTCATGTAAATATATACGTCATTGTTATTCATATATATCATTGTTGTTTTTTTTTTATTTATTCGTGTAATTTTCACTTAAGTATCTTATATTGTATTTACTCATGGAGAAATAAGCATCTAAGTTCATCCAGTGGCATTGACAAGAAATCTTGAAATAATTTTAGTTTTCCAATTTTGCATTTATGCAATTGGCTTAAATTATCATTACCATCATCATCATCATTATCATTATCATTATTACTAATATTATTATTATTATTATTTTATTTAACAATTAATTGTATTGGAACTATTAGTACAAATGAAGATACAGTATAATATTTTGGCATGGTAGGACCGGGCAACTTATTTGATTATTTCTACAGTTTCTAGCTCTGCTTAAAATATACCAGTTATTATTTCCATGTAGTTTTTCTTCCTAATACTGATTTTATCGTCTTTTTAATGTCTTTGTTGGTTAGGCCGTAACAGAGTGGATTTAGTATACATATTATCATAGGCATCACCTTCAAAATGAAACTTATTTCAAATGGAATGCATTCCTGTTTGAGATGAACACAAAGACTATCGACAGTAATGACTATGGTCTGTGGAATAAGTACGATTAGATAACAAGCTATCAGTTTCTTTAGAATCCTTGAAACTTTGGTTACACCGTTCGAACTTTTAGTATTTTCTTTGGTTTTTCCGAACGTGTCAGTAAAGTTAGGCCTAATGTGGTGTTCAATTGAAGCAATATATTGGCCTGTCACTGTAGTTTCTTTGATGTCTTCATGTACGTATGACATGTTACCGTAGCATAGATCAGTCGTACTCTGAGTGTCCGTAAGACTAGAAAAATGAACAAGAACTGCGCTACCAGACGCCGCCTCAGGAGTATCACCGTTGCTGTTACGCCTGACGCAACAGTGGCACGCGTAACCTAAAGTTCTCTTCCAAATTGACTCCCCTTCCACCGTTACAACAACTTTTGGTATGATCCTTGCGTCTAAATTAGACTTATTTCGTTCCCGGTCACGTACGATTATGTAAATTCTCAAGTAAAGAATAACGATAAACATAGTAGGCAGGATGATGTAAGTAAGAGTGGCAAAGAAAGACTTAGCCAGATTGAAATCAAAAAGTACACAAGGTTCGGATTTGTTTGACAAGATAGTTTCTACTGTTTTTGAACTAATAACAAATGCGAATGTAAGAATCCAGGATATGACTATGATCCTCCGAGAACGCGTTCTAGAATTCTTGACGACACTTCCCAACGGATCACAGATGCCTCTGTACCTCTCATAGCAGATGATCAGGACGGTTACTTTTGACATCTGAAAGGACATTGTCACAGTCGCACGCAAAAAATAACATACTGCACTGATCTTCCATGTAAATCGGAAGAGAATAAAGGCAACGTAGAGCGGTAGACCGACGGCCGACAACATAAAGTCAGAACAGGCAAGACTCAGGAAATAGACATTCGCAGATGTCCTTATTTTACGATTGTAAATAAAACAGCCTATAATTAAACTATTCATAATTATTCCAAAAAATAGTAGAACAGTCAAGACAGACGCTACGCTGTATGCATAACTTGCAGCTACTTCGGCGTCCTCCGTAGAGTTTGACATCGTGTGTTGTGATACGTAACTCATTAACTGTAAGCTGTTGTACAATGCGTTGAGAACCCCCTCACAAATTGCTATCTGAGAAGACGTAGACGAAATCGATGCCACTGCAAACAAATTGTTATAATCGACAAGCCATAAAATAATGTATTATTGATCGTTAATGAAACTAAATAACCACGGGGAAATGGTTTGAAACATTATGCTGCGCAATTCTGTGACGAAATTTGTAATATTATATTGAAGAAGTCTTCTCTTAACAAACGATAATTCACTGAAAACTCGATGTCATTTAGGTCTAATGCTCGTAGTTATGACTGTACTTGGTAAACGACGCTAGATTGGTTTATCGATGTACAGCAATTAATTTTAATGTACTGTTAACGATTGCGTAATTTATCGTTTGGCGTATTATTGAAAGAAATGTTTTCTATAGGTTATCCACATGTGTCTCAAACGGCTATAAAAACATCAGCTTTTGAGAAAATAATTAACAATAATCAAAATAATGCATCAACACCATTGTGATCATTTATCAAATTTTCCGAACTAGAACTCCCAGAGGCGTATCCAGTGGGTGGCAAGAGGAGAGAGAGCCCCCTTCCACACACACACACACACACACACACACACACACACACACTACCCGGCGGCAGTAGGGGATGCTGTCAATCTGGAGATGGCATGCCCAGACTCAGGAAATAGACATTCGCAGATGTCCTTATTTTACGATTGTAAATAAAACAGCCTATAATTAAACTATTCATAATTATTCCAAAAAATAGTAGAACAGTCAAGACAGACGCTACGCTGTATGCATAACTTGCAGCTACTTCGGCGTCCTCCGTAGAGTTTGACATCGTGTGTTGTGATACGTAACTCATTAACTGTAAGCTGTTGTACAATGCGTTGAGAACCCCCTCACAAATTGCTATCTGAGAAGACGTAGACGAAATCGATGCCACTGCAAACAAATTGTTATAATCGACAAGCCATAAAATAATGTATTATTGATCGTTAATGAAACTAAATAACCACGGGGAAATGGTTTGAAACATTATGCTGCGCAATTCTGTGACGAAATTTGTAATATTATATTGAAGAAGTCTTCTCTTAAACGATAATTCTTTTAAAACTCGATGCCATTTAGGCGTAATGCTCGTAGTTATGACTGCACTTGGTAAACGACGCTAGATTGGTTTATCGATGTACAGCAATTAATTTTAATGTACTCTTAACAATTGCGTAATTTATCGTTTGGCCTATTATTGAAAGAAATGTTTTCTATAGGTTATCAACATGTGTCTCAAACGGCTATAAAAACATCAGCTTTTGAGAAAATAATTCACAATAATCAAAATAATGCATCAACACCATTGTGACCATTTATCAAATTTACCGAACTAGAACTCCCAGAGGCGTATCCAGTGGGTGGCAAGAGGAGAGAGCCCCCTTCCACACACACACACACACACACACACACACACTACCCGGCGGCAGGAGGGGGTGCTGTCAATCTGGAGATGCCCATTATTAGGGACCCATGCCATTATAATTGAGAGCCCATGATAGTAATTATTATTTTTGAGAAAAAAAATGCTAACCACAATTTTTATGGGCCCTGCTAAGCTTGGGCCACGGGGATCTTTCCCTCCTGACCCCTCTCGGTGGCACTGCCATAAACTCTTTTCTTATTGCAAGTTTTTGGCGTTTTTTTGTCCGAGTGTCAAGGCTTGTAGTAGCCCATGATAGTAATTATTATTTTTGAAAAAAAAAAATGCTAACTACAATTTCTATGGGCCCCTGGTAAGCTTGGGCCACGGGGATCTTTCCCTCCTGACCCCTCTCGGTGGCACTACCACAAACTCTTCTCTTATTGCAAGTTTTGGTGTTTTTTTTGTCCGAGTGTCAAGGCTTGTAGTAGAGTGCTGGCTGTGAGTTCCAGACTCCTTTAGGTCTGGGGGACCGGGGCATTGTTCCCCCGGGGCCCGGGGCATTGTTCCCCCGGGCCCACAGACATTTCCAATAATAATCATGTCACCTACTCGGATGCTTAACCAAGAAAAAAAGCAGACAATACCGGTAGCTATCAGAGTTTTGATAATTTATTAAATACAAAGGCACAGTTATAACGTCTACTGTAAACAGAGCACAACTGAAGACCACTGGGATTTTATTTCTACAATATCATTTTGCCTTGAATATAAAACAATATTTACAATGTATAAACACGTCCATATTCTACGGTATACAAGGCAGGTTTTTTTTCTATCATGCAAATTGAATGATAAAGAACCTATGGTAAACTAATACAGATAATATTGAATCGGTGCTATAGAGTACTTTGTGTATGCTGGGAGTTGTTATAACAACTCCCTGCATACAAGGTTGGTATCCTCATGTATGAAAAGTTAGTATCCTCATCGTATGGACTTGCATTACTGCACATGCCCGTATTCGAGTTCAATCGACACACACCTATGTTGTGTGTATGTGATGTGGTGTTTGTTTATGTTGATTGACTTGATATGGGCATGCACAGTTCACACTGAGATTTATTAGCTTTAATATGAAGACAAAAATGTTTTCCTGGCCAATTAACAGACATGTATAACAACATCCTTTTGCGATATACTTTATTCTTTGCATAGACTGAGAAATATTTACTGATTTTACTATCGAAAAGAAAAAAACCCCAAAAAAACAAACCTTGATTTAGAGCTAGTTTCATAATGTATACTCCATCATATGATGTAATACTATTCGTTATTATACACAGGATATTTCATTTTCACAATATCGTGTGTAAAAATAGTGTTTGGATGGGAAGAGTTCGTATGGTAAAGTAGCCAAACAGTAATGAAATATTTTATCATCATTAAATCTGATACGACATTTACGTCATCTGGAGTACTATAAAAATGTATCATGCACACTATTTCATAAAGCGCTTTGTACTCTCAATGTACATTAACTCCACAATAAATATCGTTCAGTTTTTATACGGAATTGGAATCGTCATATGGAGGATGATACAAAGAAGTATCATGCAGATAATTTTGTAATAGCCTTATTTGGAATTCACATTAATATGTTTTAAATAGCATGTCTATATTTGGTCATTGTTTGTGCACAGGCCTGTCTGAACCAAATCGATATTATCGTCAACATAATTGTCAAACGCTGCCGAAAGTCAGGAATTATCAGTACAATTACTATCATTAATCTGTTATTAGATCAGAAAGCATGCATTGAACAATAGCAGTAAAAAATTATTACATGAACATGTGATAATTAACAACCTCTTTTTGTAGCCTAAATGTCATTTGTAAGTGAAAAGAGTAATGCATAATGCCAGCTACTTACAGTATCATATCTTGCATAACTAACAATTCCAAGGTCTCCAATATACCAGTTAGAAACATATATTCAGGGATTGTTAATCAAATCATAGTGATGTTTTTGTTACTAAAGTTTGTATCATTTGTGTGATTGCTTTTTACATGAAAATGGGTTAATTAAAAAGGTAATTCCTCCATGATTAAAATCTCCAGTAGATAATGCACTTTTTCAAGGCAAATTTTCAAGATGAAATTGAATTGATCATATATAACGAATAAAGTCTTCAAAGTATTTATTGGCTATTGTCAATCTTAGGCAACAGTGTTGAGAGGGTGGTAATAAGCTAATTGGTAGTTTGAACTGCACATGCCCATATCAAGTTCAATTGACATAAACAAACATACACACAACATAGGTTTATATTGATTGACCTCGGATAGTCATGGGCATTTTAAACTACGAATTGGCAATATTGTACAGGAATTTACTCATGAACCCTAGCACGCCATTGCTGCAGCCACTGGGGACTCAGTTACACTGCCTTGGGGCCAAGTCCGCTCTCAGCGGCCCTGATTTCTTGGTCTATTTGCTCTAAATAACTTTAAAAATCTACTTCACAGCAGTCTCAATTGAGGACTGATTTACGTCCTGGTTTTCAGCCGGTTCAGTATCCGTTACGGTTTTATAACGTTCATAGGCAGCAATTCGTAGCAGACAATCAGTAGTTGGAATGAAGTAATATTCGTGAACTGATTCGTTAGAATTTGATTGATTGCTAAATGGAAACGGCGATGGAAGCTTAGGGATAAGATGTTTTGTAATACATCCTGCTTGCAGAAGCATCTGTCAACAAAATAATAAAATGACTTTTGTTTTACGAATAAATGTAATGATTTGGTTTCACGAATAAAAAAAAGTAATTACTGTAATAAAAATGAAAGATACAATCAAAAATTAAGTTGTAGAAGATAAGTTTGTGTTATACCTGGAGAATTTCTTTACACTCTACTGGCGAAAGAACAAGATGTAATTGTTTTATGATGTCCTTCTCTGGTATTCCGGGTTTAGAAACAACAATTAATGCAAGTTTTTGAAGTAACCGGACAAGTTCGTCCATCTCCACCTCTCCTCCCAAGTTGTACCACTGACGAGGTATAAATTGGATCTTCTGTGTTTCCCTGATAAAAATAAATAAAAAATTAGTGTGAGCACCTTGAAAAAAAAAATCTATACTAAAACACGACCCCCCTCCCCCCTCTGAAAACCTCACACCCACTAACCACCATTGAAAATGTTGAAAGGAAAAAAATCACGGCTCAGATGGATAAAAATCGCCTCATATCACCTTACTTTGCAAGCTACCACCCCTTCACTTAATAATGGAGCCACCCCACTTCACCTTTAGCCAAAATCAGACCTCCCCCATTTCAGGCCCGCCCTCCCCACCCCCATTTCAACACACCTAGATATGACACTGCTGTTAACGTAGTACTGTAAGTGTGACACAAAGTTTGAACTTACTTTGTCAATATCATATCTGCCGAGAGGATGGGATCAAAATCAACTTTCCTCTTCCTTGTTTTCCTCTTTGGTACCGTTTCTTGAATTAAGTCGTTTAACATCTTATTTTGCAGAGAACTGCTTCCAAAAGACTTGTTTCCCACAAAATTACTGACATTTGTAGGTGGAGATGGTTCCCTTTTATCTTTTGAGTTTTCAGAATATGGTTTAAGAGTCCCTCTTCCAGGATTATCCCCATTAAACACTTGATTTTGAGCTTTTAAATCTGAGTTACTGTTCAAGTATGTTGTAGAGTTGATATTGGAAGTTGGAATTTTACAATTTGATTCTTGGACTACAACATCTGGCTCCTTTGAGTTGTCTGTTTGAAATTCATCAGCTACATTTATTAACGTCTCTGTAGTAACTTCCACAGCTTCATCTTGGATGTTTTCATTAGTAAAAATCGTACCATCTGTAGTAACTTTCACATCTTCATCTTTTTTCTCGTCATTGGCAGGCACATATGTTTCCTCCATTTCCATAGATACCACTTCTTCCACGATTACTTCTTCACTGCTGTTCATTTCTTTGGTTAATTTTCGCCTTACCTTTGGTGTGGGGCCATCACTGGAGGTAATTGATGTATACTGTGCAGATGATATACTCCAAAAATCGCAGTAGTGGACGGCAACGTAGCGGTGAATATCAAGGCCAACTCGAAAAATCTAAAAAAATGATACATTTACCACAATGTAAGCATCAATTTGAAAGAAGAACTAAAGTAATTGTTGGAGAAATGTGTATCTGAAAAGGAAATGAATAATTAGTATTTATTTAGCAAGCAACATACAATCAAAATAAAAAAAGTATTTTTGAGAGACAGTTTTTGTTAGGCTGTTTTTCCAAGGACTGTTACCAGGATAGGAAGCTGGCTGGTTTAAGCAGTCTAACTTGAATTAGCTTTATGTGTGGTATTGTTATGCTAATGAAACAGATAAGCACAATCTGCACATGCTCAGAAAAAAAAAACTTTCCTTTGCCACACTGCGGCCCGCACTGAGTATCAGGTAGGCGTACAGCTAGGCCTGCCAAGGATTAGGGTACGGTAAAACAAAGAAAAGGCATATTAAAATAAAAAATATTGACGTTTGTGAGCAATACACATTTTAATTTTATGTAAGTAAGTAGTAAGTATATGAATAATTTTAATGCACTAGTTAGTTGATAACTTCATTCTAATTTGTTTTGGGTCTTTTTTCTGCATTTTTATAAGCGGTTAGACATGGCCTAGGCTAGCCTATGTGATGTTCATTGTAATAATACAAAACAAAATCACATCAATTTAAAATCAAATTTGTGAACATACATGCCTTATATCTTAACTAGCAGGTGATTTTATTGGTAGATTAGTTCGTTTTTAAGTGTGTAAGTATGATTGATTTGCATGCCAAGTGAAATTAGCACCCTTATTTTGCTTTATTTTACCGTATCGTAATTCTCGGCTAGGCTTAGCTGTATGCCAAGCCGATACGCCTGTCTCTTATACACATCTAGATGTGTATAAGAGACAGGTACCACTGACGAGGTATAAATTGGATCTTCTGTGTTTCCCTGGTAAAAATAAATAAAAAATTAGTGTGAGCACCTTGAAAAAAAAAATCTATACTAAAACGCGACCCCCCTCTGAAAACCTCACACCCACTAACCACCATTGAAAATGTTGAAAGGAAAAAAATCACGGCTCAGATGGATAAAAATCGTTCATATCACCTTACTTTGCAAGCTACCACCCCTTCACTTAATAATGGAGCCACCCCACTTCACCTTTAGCCCAAATCAGACCTCCCCCATTTCAGGCCCGCCCTCCCCACCCCCATTTCAACACACCTAGATATGACACTGCTGTTAACGTAGTACTGTAAGTGTGACACAAAGTTTGAACTTACTTTGTCAATATCATATCTGCCGAGAGGATGGGATCAAAATCAACTTTCCTCTTCCTTGTTTTCCTCTTTGGTACCGTTTCTTGAATTAAGTCGTTTAACATCTTATTTTGCAGAGAACTGCTTCCAAAAGACTTGTTTCCCACAAAATTACTGACATTTGTAGGTGGAGATGGTTCCCTTTTATCTTTTGAGTTTTCAGAATATGGTTTAAGAGTCCCTCCAGGATTATCCCCATTAAACACTTGATTTTGAATTTTTAAATCTGAGTTACTGTTCAAGTATGTTGTAGAGTTGATATTGGAAGTTGGAATTTTACAATTTGCTTCTTGGACTACAACATCTGGCTCCTTTGAGTTGTCTGTTTGAAATTCATCAGCTACATTTATTAACGTCTCTGTAGTAACTTCCACAGCTTCATCATTTTGGATGTTTTCATTAGTAGAAATCGTACCATCTGTAGTAACTTTCACACCTTCATCTTTTTTCTCGTCATTGGCAGGCACATATGTTTTCTCCATTTCCATAGATACCACTTCCTCCACGATTACTTCTTCACTGCTGTTCATTTCTTTGGTTAATTTTCGCCTTACCTTTGGTGTGGGGCCATCACTGGAGGTGATTGATGTATACTGTGCAGATGATATACTCCAAAAATCGCAGTAGTGGACGGCAACGTAGCGGTGAACATCAAGGCCAACTCGAAAAATCTAAAAAAATGATACATTTACCACAATGTAAGCATCAATTTGAAAGAAGAACTAAAGTAATTGTTGGAGAAATGTGTATCTGAAAAGGAAATGAATAATTAGTATTTATTTAGCAAGCAACATACAATCAAAATAAAAAAAGTATTTTTGAGAGACAGTTTTTGTTAGGCTGTTTTTCCAAGGACTGTTACCAGGATAGGAAGCTGGCTGGTTTAAGCAGTCTAACTTGAATTAGCTTTATGTGTGGTATTGTTATGCTAATGAAACAGATAAGCACAATCTGCACATGCTCAGAAAAAAAAAACTTTCCTTTGCCACACTGCGGCCCGCACTGAGTATCAGGTAGGCGTACAGCTAGGCCTGCCAAGGATTAGGGTACGGTAAAACAAAGAAAAGGCATATTAAAATAAAAAATATTGACGTTTGTGAGCAATACACATTTTAATTTTATGTAAGTAAGTAGTAAGTATATGAATAATTTTAATGCACTAGTTAGTTGATAACTTCATTCTAATTTGTTTTGGGTCTTTTTTCTGCATTTTTATAAGCGGTTAGACATGGCCTAGGCTAGCCTATGTGATGTTCATTGTAATAATACAAAACAAAATCACATCAATTTAAAATCAAATTTGTGAACATACATGCCTTATATCTTAACTAGCAGGTGATTTTATTGGTAGATTAATTTGTTTATAAGTGTGTAAGTATGATTGATTTGCATGCCAAGTGAAATTAGCACCCTTATTTTGCTTTATTTTACCGTACCGTAATTCTCGGCTAGGCTTAGCTGTACGACAAGCCGATACGCATTGCGAGCCGCAGTTTGGCTAAGGAAAGTTTTGTTTTTCTGAGCATGTGCAGATTTTGCTTATCTGGCTCATTAGCATAACAATACCACACATAAGGCTAATTCCAGTTAGATGGCTTAAACCAGCCAGCTTCCTATCCTGGTAACAGTTATAAGTCCTTGGTTTTTCAGAATCAATAGGAAAACCAACAAGAAATATATCAGTTGTTCATTATCTTCATAGATGCTTTCTTTATAATGTTTTCCGATATCTGAATTTCAAATAAACAATTAATTTTAAATAACATACTAGTTTTTTCTTCATGAGCTTGTGCAAATTTTCAATCAATCCATTAACATCTAGATGGTGCTCAGAGGTAATGATTTCAGGTGCTGTTAACCCAAGGTAACAGTTGTTGGAGATTAAGTGAAATAATGTTGACTCTTCCTTGCTAAGTGTAGGAATTCTATGCAGGAAAGAAAAAATAACGGTAAGTTAATTACACAAACATCTTTGTTTATAAATTTGAAAGGTCAATAGCTGTGTGTTTGTATAGCGGATACATCCCTATGTGTTCGAAGACAACAGAAAAAACCAAATCCAGAAGAAATATTCAAAATGAAAAGTATTTTACACTGGAACTTACCCAGGTACTTTATAATATTCTGTAAAGTTTTCTAAAGGAATATAAAATGTTTAAAATCTACAAACAGTCTGAAGAACTACTGCATAATCCTCACATTATTAATTGATATTTGCATAAAACAGGCTGCATGCTTTTTGAATTGCTATGCAGCAGTTTTATAAACTTACATATCCTTTATCAGATTTTTCTTCATTAGAGGTATAGGTATAAACTTAGTTGATTCAAATTGTTCCAGAGTTGTCCATTCCTCTTTAACTTCACCTCTTTGCTCAATGATGAGAAAATCCTCCTTCAAAGAGTACAGATTCATTTCATCAGTGTTGTCAAAAACCTGATGATCATCGGGTGGCAGTGAAGTATTTTTATTACAATGATGCATATTCTCTTGCAACAGTGTGCTTAGTTTTATCTCAATCTGACAAGGCTTTAACATAATGGCATCCAACATCCCACTGCCATCGTCTGACGTTCCTTCATCCGTGAGTCCCTGTAGAAGGAACCAGTCTGTTCGGGTGGAGCAAACTCTGGGATCTTGTCTCAGCTTTCGTAAGTCTTTCTCAGCTGAAGTTCCAGAATTCTTCGGAGCTATTAGTGGTGCTGCATCTTCCGATGCTACTGGCTTTTCTGAAATAGTTGGCATCATTTGCGTGTAGCTATGTTCGGTATTGACAAATGTTGCATTTACTTGATTCTGCTCCTGGTTATCTGCAGCTGGTTCCTCCTCTTGTGCAGCTGTTCTCTGGTCCATCTGTTTCTCCTCAAATGCATGACTTATCTTCTGGATGCGTGTCATACGTTTGTACATTGGATAGGAGCCTTGTGTTTCATCTTCGGCGGGGCCACATTGTTGCTTTGAGGTCGTCTGTTGCTCTTCTTTTTGACCTTGCTGTGGATCAACATCCTCATCACCATCAGATTCATCTGATGATTCTTCAGCATTTCCCATCAACTTTGCTGTACGTTCTAGAGTTGCTTTGTTGATGAATGAACTATCCAGTAAAATCACTTGATCAGGAACTTGGATAGTATACGTAACCTATAATGACAACAACATATGTTGATAGCATTACCATTCGATGGCGTTAAAGGAAATTTAATATGAATGATCTATTTTTTGCCCTGCTTATGTGTAATGTGCATTCCAGAATACTTGTGAAAAAAATATTGCAAGTGATTTGGGTGGGAATGGAACCCACAACCTCCAGATAACTAGCTTGATGTCTTAACCACTGGACCATCGAGCTTGCGCTTGAATCTGATAACATTACTGATATCTTGAGCTAATAACATTAATTAAATATTAGTTTTATTCTCTTCCATATTTTATTATTCCCAATCAATTTTAAATGTTTGAGGCTTACAATTTTCAAAACCAGCATACTCTTGCTAAATGTTAAACTGAGTAATTAACATATGAACATAGCAGTATTGTATCTTTAGTTCAGAGAAGCTTTAATACTTTTACTCATAACTTTGGCAATAATAAGTCGATTCCATTAAATTACCTGTCATTGTATAGCTTATAATGCGGAGAATATTTACTCTTTTTGGACAGTAATGCTGGTTTTGGCATGGCAAGCCCCATTTAGCTGAATTCTGTTCTTATTGAGCTGATAAACTAAATAAACTCACCAAGTTACAGCTCAACATAGATATAAAGCAAGCAACCTGCCCACATGTGGCAGCGATTGGTACATTAAATGGCGTAGTCTTTCCTGTTGATGGAACACAATATAATACTATAAATTTAAGAATATAAATTTTTATATAACTTTAGCTAAACTGCATAGCCATATTTTTCTCATTCTTTCTTCTCTATCGAATGGTCATGTCTTTTTCATCTAGGTTAACAATTACTTTTTCTTCTATGTCTACCTGAACCATTCAATATTATTATATACTGTACAGGTACAACGATAACACGAGAACAGAATCACTCATGCGTGACAATCCTACTGGGTGTCCTACGTTCTCTGTATACGTAGATTTGGCCAAGTTGCGTCCTAGAATACACGGGATGAGGAGAACTTAATGTTCTCCATGCGCAGATGACTTTTAGTGACATCATTATGTTACACATCCTACCGTCGTCGTGCAATCGAAAGCGCCCTAATAATGATATGAAGAAGTCATTCTTCTAGCCCTATATATTACAATGGCTTATCACTAAACTTAAATGGAGCAATGCACTTGAGACATCATCACAAATGATTTGTAATTTCAGATATGGGATAATATATGTGGCAAAGACAAGCCAAACCAGTCATTCGTCGCAAAAATCGATTTTGAGTTATTAGCTATAAAATGGTTAAAAAATCATTCAAATCCACATTTCCTTTATATGAAGTTACAAGTGTTTAAACACACAGCTAATTCAAGAACAATATATAAGCCTTCTAAGTTTATGATTTTGGTCATTTCACATGCAGAAACAATCAAGTTCATAAGAAATTTGACATTCCAGCATGTTTTGGCCATTTTCTCTGAAACACGATTTGCGACAAGAGACTTATTTGGCTTGTCTTTGCCACATACAACTGAGTATACTAAATCAGTTATGAAAATAATTAAAAATTGGTAAACTATAGTTTTCTGATTTTAATATTGTAGTACTGTTATTACAATTTGAATTGAATTACCATATTGATTCTCATCTAAAGATTGCATGTATTCATAAGCTTCTTTAACGACGCGACTTGTGATCGTGCTGTCGAAGGTCTTCCGGCAGGTTCCAGACACCTGCAGCGACATCGCCGTACACGGCAGCACCCTTCGGATTCTTCGACGAAAACGCTGATAAATAAATAAGAACAGTGAATTAAAAAACATGTTTGCAGTCATTATCTGATAATAATTTTAATATATGTGGCAAAGACAAGCCAAAGCAGTCACTCTTCGCAAATCCTGTTTTATTATTGCACTAAACTATATATCTATGCATGATGCTATGCTGTTATTTTTCCCATTTTCAATGTTAAAACAACAATTTTTAACGATTTGGTGATGGTTTCTGCCTAAGAAATGAACAAAATCGTAAACTTTGAATGCTGATTTTTTTTTAAATACTGTTCTTTAAACAGTTGTATGTTTAAACTCCTGTAACTTCTTAATGAAATGTCGGATTGAAATGATTCTTTCACCATTTCATAGCTCTCATTTTACAGTTTAACCCAGTATTAATAACTAAACAATGATTTTTGCAACGAGTGACTTGGTTTGTCTTTGCCACATATTACCATTTATATTGTTTTTACTGATTTAAAGAAATATAATTTAAAATCTTTCGGTTACCTTCTAATAAAATATTAGTTAATATCTTGAATTTACAGTGTACAATTCAAGACCCCATAATTTGAGACCACTTTTTCAAGGGACCAAATAACAAAGGTCAGTATATTAACACCAAGCAAACCCTCTATGTGGAGAGTGAACCCAGAGACCACCCCAAATTTTCAGGTACCAATGGTGGTCTCAAATTAAAAGGGGAACTGTATTATACTGTTTTTAATTTGTGTAGTTGTATGTTGTATGTTATTGATGCAGCTTCCATAGCTCCAACACCAGATTTGCCTGTGATTTGTCCAGCCCTCAAGCTCTTCTACATGGCCATCAAAGATCTTATAATTAGAAAAATAACGCTTCCAACCATTCTACGCGTAATAAATAGAAGCGTTGATGTTCTGTAAAAAGAAGCCTAAAAAGCAATCACTTTTGAGAGAGAGCGCCCTAGTTGTTACCATGGTTGTTATAGAATTTGCACGCAGATGTGCTACCTTTAGTTAATGATCTCTGATGTCAAAGTTGAAAAGTAATCACTTTTGTGTGAGGGCGCCCTACACTGCGTTATTACAAAATTTGCGCAAAGGGATCATGGAGAACGCTATCTTGTAATTATAAGATCTTGGATGGCTATTGGGAATTGTGAAAAAAAGTAAAGGATGAATTTATAACTTCTTACATTCCGTGTTGTTAGGTACGCATCCTTAATTGCTTCAACGACTTCTAACAAGAAGTCTTCCTTGAACTGGTTGAATACGTAGAATGCTTGGGTAGGATTGAATAACACCGGTCGATCAATCAAAAAGAAACTAGCCTACAGCAAGAAACAATGTAATACAGATATATTGTTAATGACAACACAAACTTATAAATTTATTCAGGTGTAGGCTCTAGGCCCAAGGATATGCCAAACAGTGAACTAAATCACCTTTTAAAGTGGCCATCCCATCAAAAGACAACTATGGACCAGTACACCGGGGTAACCCCCTACTTATCTCAAAAGATGTACTTGGTTCTTTAAAGTGCACATAAGCCAATTGTTTACACTGGGCCTACGGTTTATGGTCCTTACCTGAGAAGACTTGTTTCACCTCCAGAACCATAGGCGAGCGTGTGCCGTTTGAGCCAGCACCAAAATTATGACTGTAGGTTGCGGCACACCTGCCTTAGCTGCTCGGCCATTCGACTCCTGTTATACTTTGATTCTGATTCAAAATACCACTACTGTATTTTTAATTATCCTTATTAGCAGACCCGTCGTAGCATTGGAGTGGGGGCGGTTAAGGAGGTTACGACGAACCACCCAAACACTGAGAAGGTCCTCGTTTGAAATGAAAAATCGATATTCGTAGATATATTTACAATGTTCTCCAGCGTATCAGAGATCATACAAGGCAAAGGGTCCACTTTCCACTGAAACAAACCTCCCACAAATTAAGTCACGCTATGGGCCTGATTAGGTTAATTAATTTCCTTCAATTTGATTGGAATTTGAGGTCCGTGTAGCAATACTGAGAAAACGCCGGTGTGCACGTATGTGGTTGCACATATCCCAAAACCAGTGTACGGTCACCAACTGAGTAATTAACATAAGAATGTGCTGTATACTTTTATACAGAGAAGTCATAATAATTTTACTCAGTACTTCTGCAATAGTAAATTCAATCGCAGTAAATGACCTATCATTTTAAAGCTGACAATGTGCAGAATAAGAATATACTAAAGTCAACTTTCATTTTTTGGTCACTGATGCTGGGTTTGGGTTAGCAAGCCTCATATTGAACAGTTAAAAAAAAACTTTTTTGATATGTGCTTGTTTCAGAAAATATATCATTGGAGTGATGATTTGCCCTAACTGACGTCTTTCGTACTGAGTACTCAGTATGTTCCCAAATACTTGTTTAAAACATTTGCGAGTGATTCGGGTGAGAATAGCAACTTATTGAAATTTTATGTAACAAAACTGTAGTTTTCAAATGAGGTTAAAATTTGTTCAGACAATAGATAGGTAGTTAGTGAGCATACAGTTAAAATATCAGAACCAGTAACAGAACATCACGCAACTGGCCTTAACACCATAGGTCCTTGATTGGCGCCCCACTTTCTCCCAGCAAATGAAATCTACCTTTTAGGTCAGGGACGGGAAACTAACTTATATTTTGATTTGACCAAATGAAACCAAGTGGGTGCTTAGCTGACTTACCATTACAGCCTGTCGCAATACAAGTTTCTTAATTTCTTCCAAATCTGTTGACGTCCATTTCACCTGTCGTGGAATCTTGTAACGAGGAAGAAGCCGCAACATTTCCGGAGTTATGAAAGTGTCGTACATGTCATGGAACTTCTCTAATGTTGATGGAAATTGTTCGATCTCGGGTTCAATCCTGTATAAATTTATTTAACGAGAATATAAAATCATTGAGAAAACTGTTTTCTCATTCTAACATTTAATTGAAAGCAAAACAAATATTTTTTAAAAAGCAATAAAAATGATTAATTTTTCCAATTTTTTTTTAGCTTAACACAGCAACAAACTCTCATGTAGATAATTAACAACGATGATCAAGGTTACATCTAGGCAGTGGCTGTTCATCTAAGAGAGTTTAAATGGGGTAGGGGGTAGGAAGGTGAATTATTTTAATTGGGTTGAGCATAATCTATTGCTTCGAATATTAACAGTGTGGAGGGGTGCACAACTGGAGATCATAAGCTTTTGTTTCGGAGGAAGGGGCGTGCTGTGTACCCCACTAGATATGCCGCTGCATCCTGGTTCCTTCTAACATATTACCTCAGTCTCTGTATAGTTAATTCCAACAACTCAGCATACTCCCTCTCACAAGCTTCGTTGCTTCTATAATCAATTTTCTTTTTCAAAGCCTCAGAAATAACCTAGAAAAGGGGTAACAAGAATTATGCCTTCTTAATGGGTTCTATATACTTTGAGCAATTCAAATTTTGCTAAATTATACAGGCTTTAAGCTCTTTCTACACTATCAAATTCTATGTGGTGAATTCTTGTGATGTGCCCTAATATGGGCATGATGATGTCACATTACACCCAAATATATTTGTAACATAAACTATGAAAATTGCCAAATTAACGCTGTGTCCAGACTATCAACTTTTCTTTGACATAATATCTGTGGTTAGTACATATGAACGCGATAATGTTATAATATCCCCATATAAGGGCAAATCACAGGTATTCTCCACAAAATCTTGATAAAGATTATTGCAGAATAGCCTGGTTTCCATAAAAATCGCTTTACGCTATCGCCAACTCCCTTGGCGACACTGATTGGTCAGTTGAATCAGGGAGTGCTCCCAACTGCATCGGGGACAGCTACGCACTGCAAGAATTGCAGTGAAAACGGTGTAGCGACATATGGGCCCGCTAAAATTTCAAATGGCCGTAACTTCTAAACGACTTGGAATTGGCAAGTCAAATTTTGGGTTTGTTCGTCAGACATGTTGGTGCACATTATATCCGAGTTTCAAAAAAAATCTGAGACGGTACCCAGCCATGATTTTCTGAAAATTTGTTGAGTTGGCACGGAATGACGTACATATGAACGCGATAATGTTATAATATCCCCATATAAGGGCAAATCACAGGTATTCTCCACAAAATCTTGATAAAGATTATTGCAGAATAGCCTGGTTTCCATAAAAATCGCTTTACGCTATCGCCAACTCCCTTGGCGACACTGATTGGTCAGTTGAATCAGGGAGTGCTCCCAACTGCATCGGGGACAGCTACGCACTGCAAGAATTGCAGTGAAAACGGTGTAGCGACATATGGGCCCGGTACATTACTAGCTAGCAGCCATAGACAGGCGGCTTATAGTTGTGCTCTTATCATTTCACAATGACAGTGGCTGAAATGAACCCCTTACTCTTCCTAAAAAGATGCAAAAGGTTCTTTTTGCAAACAAGCAAAATGTGTACATTGGACTTCCATTTTAAGTCCTTATCTGGAAAGACTTAGTTCAATAGTCTTGTATATGTGGACAGCTCTTAAATATCTGTGCAGTAAAAATAGAAACAGTATACACCTTATGCATTTGTTAAATCAGAGTGGAAAAAAATTTGGTAACTAACACAATACCATACCTCATCATTTTCAAGCTGGGCAAGATGCTTTGCTACTAATATACAGAAAGCTTGAGATTTTAATAAATACTGAGACCTTCTCATAACGCCATTAGTGTTTTTATTCTCCGAACTCTGAAAAAGAAAACAACGTAAATTGCAATAATGATAATCCATAGTTTAGCTGCATTTTACGATTCTAAAAAAAATGGTTCAAGCCAAATTTACATTGTGCAAGGGATGGCCATGGTAATGGTACAGGTATTTATAATGCCATGCACAACTTTATCAATGGAGGTAATTTTCCTTACCGGAATATACTTGTGCATGAGTTCTTGGCGAAAGCACCACGGTATAAAGAAACCAGCTCTCTTTTTAGCAAGCAACAAGGTTACTACTTGAAACATCATCATCTAATAATATAAAAAACACAAATACAGTATATACTTTAGCATTTAAATTTATCAGTACCTCTGCTAAATGAGGTTCGTACTCACCTATTTCAAGTTTACGCAAATAAAAAATGGTATGGTCAAGGTAAAGATCACAGAAATTTGATTTTTTAACCTTGAGCATTAAAGAACAAAAAATGGAATCTCCTATAATACACAGCCTACATATTGTTTGATATTTAGGCACTGGGAAGAAACAAATTGAATCACCCATCATACACAGCCTGCGTTTCAGGCACAAGGAAAGAGAAGAATTGTACCTACCAATTCATCTTCTTCTTGGTTCCAATCGAATCGGTTTCTTTTCAGTATCATTTTTGATCTAGGTCCAATGCAAACTAACTGTTTTTCTTCTGGTTTACTCTTTACCTTTTTGACCAGCTTCTTTTTTGGAGCCGTCTCAGCAGGTGGCTTTGGGCGTTTCAGACCACGCCCGCCTTTAACCTTCTCATGACGACCTTTCTGGTTTTCACTTATGGTGACATTCAGTGCTTTCAAAACAGATTTCTTTCCTAGAATGTCAACATTGATATTGAAGAGAATGATGAAGACAGTGTTACAGTATACAATTATTTACTGGGTTCCAGGGCATGGTTTAAACTATAGCCTGAAGTGATCTATGTCCCGAGACGGCGTCTAGGGACATAGTACAGCTTCCAGATCACCAAGCTCATCAATGCCAATCTAAAAAAACATAATATATCCTACCAAGAGCTTTATGTCGATTTTTTCTGGCTTTGAGCATATCTATCTTCATCTTTTGTCTTGATTTATATTTCTTGCTGGTGGATTGCATGGGTGGTGGGGGTAAACTCCAGTTCTTCCTCAGATGTCTAAAAAGTATTTTAATTGGTTATTTAATGTTAGATATAAGTTTTTCTTAAATCTGATGACCATCTGCACTGTGTAAGTTTACGTACCTAAAAAAATTAAATAAAGTAAAAAGATTAAATTAAAATATAATAGCAGGGTCGTTTGAAGTTTGAAGTCGTTGAATCAACGATGAAACTTACGCATAGATCCTTGAATCTAACCCAGCTGCTCCTTGGCCATTCCCAGGGAGTTTCCCTGTATCTTCTGGGACTACAGAAATGTCATCAACATCTAGAACTAATTCTTTTATCATCATCTTTTCCTCTAACGAATTCTTGGGCAATCCTAAAGTTCGATCTCGCCTTGATAAACCTGTGAATTTGGTTTATTTTTCTTTATTTATTCATGAAAACTGGTTCAATGTTAAAATACTGTTGTACCATTAGATCGTAATAAAAAACTAAAAATTACATGATAAAAAAGTTATTATAAATGCATTAGAAAAAACATGTACATAATATAAAAACATACTCTAAAGCAGGGGAGGGCATAAAAATCGGTTGGAGGGCCAAAGTGAATTTTTGATTTAACATCAAGGGCCACACCCTAAATCTGGTGTTTACAGTGTGCTTTCAAAGTCCTCCTCGCACACATGGGGTTTTTAATTCATTTTCGCAGGCCGAAAAAAAATCACTGTTGGGCCGCACTTTGCCTACCTGTGCTCTAAACCATCATAATGATCCTAAAATTAATAGTTAGATTTGTTTTCATGTTGTTGGTCATGCGAATTGGAAGGCAAGGATTTTTGTTCTTTTAACATGCATACTCGGACACTTAATCTGGGCTCTCACTAAACTGTACGACGGTCGTACGACCGTCGGCCGATTAATCCAATTCTGCTCACTGTGAGCGTTAGATGACACAATGTCGTCTGCTGATTGCTTGTTGCGAGCGCGTTGTGGCATTGCGTTCTCCATAGAATCATGTCCACCGACAACCGTTGGGTGCAATAAATGCCTGCTTTATAAAACAGTAGATTGGTACACTTTAGTACAACTTTACACTCACCCAATGGAGTGTTCAGACAGATAACTTGCAGATCTCTGAAGAACTGATTAACAACAGCTTCTGAATTCCTTGTATAATGCTTAACTGGATAGTGGCCTGGATTCACTATGTTATAGTGCTTCTTGCAAGATGTTGTGTCCACTATCGTTCCCTTCTTATGAAGATAGCAGAAGACCTGAAGGTAGAGGTAGAGTATTGAACTTTTTATCAATGAAACAATGTATGTAGTTTCAATATCAATTTTTCAAGACATTGGCTGACAAAAGGCTGACCTAGGTAAAGGTAGGAGAATTATCCATAATTTGTATTGTATGGACAGGGTCTGTGACTACTGAAGCAGCTGTAGAGAAGGTGAACTATATCATCGGGGCAACCCCTACTTTTCTGAAAGATGCAATAGATTCACAAGCCAGTTTTTAAGTACTTATCCAAGAAGAATTCGTTCTATCAACTGAACTTGGTGAAGAACGGCTCAAACCAGCGCCGACATTAAGGCTCTAGTTAACAGCTTGACTCGCCCATCATTTCATTCTGCATCACTTACCTGATCTTTGTCAAAGAAATCTTCTGAAGGACCAAATGTCAGCAGACCCATTTGGCACATCCTCTGCAGGCCCTGGTGGAAGGAGTGGATGTACTTGCGACGGTAACACAAGTGCTGCTGTAGCTCCTCTGGTAGGAACATCAATGGGATGTATTTCTTGTAAGGATCATTCAGATAATCATGAAGGTTGTGAATCTAGAGTAAAGAATTCTTTTTATCAGTTTGCCAAGGCATTGCTGAACAGGAAGAGAAAAGCCTCTTACAGATTAAAAAATAAACTGTGATAGTCTAAAACTTAAATTCCAATATACTGTATTTTATTATAAAAATGATTTCATTTTATTCTAATCTACCAGCTCTCACTAGATGGAATGATACTACTGTATATAAAGTCTCATTATAAGGCTAAAGAAATTAATTTTTTTTTTAGTTGTGGGAAACAAAATCACAGGAACATGGGAATGAAGAACAAGCGTCTTAACCACCAAGCACTCCTATGAAAATTCATCAGATTTTATGATGTCAGATTGAACCATATACTGTACACAGAACCAACAGCTTAAACATCTCATCTGAAAGACGGTGCACTATCGTAATATGTATTTCAGTCCTCTGGCTGAAACACACAGAGAGCAGCAATAAGAATTGAACCGGGGACATAGAGATCTCCACGGTTCAGTTCACGCACAGTGGCTACCACCAGTTTCACCGACTGAACTATTCTGCTCTGCAGATCTCACTTCCGGGAGATCGGCTTTAACACGACTAATTTACTGCTCATGGTGATAGACATCGGCAATGGTTTCCATAAGAACAATTGATACAGTAGTAAAAACATGCAAATATTGTGAATTTGTGGGAAATGAGATATTTTCCCGAAGATTCTTTTTGCTTTATGGGAGTGAGGAACTCCTGCAACTTCTTGGAGACTTGGGACCCCTGACAATGTTTTATCAAAATGAGTCTCATGAAAAGAAAACAGTTAAATTGTACCTTCACTGAGAGCATGATCAAACTGCAGAATATGGTCAATGGCATAATCATAATGACATCAGTGACGTAAAACCATCCTTCCGCACACTTTGTGTAGCGTGGCAGAGGTGGTAGGAACCTCTTCCACGACATTTCATCACAGTACACCTTTAGGTTATTTACAAGATTTTCCTCATCTAATGCAGCATTGGCTAATACTTCAGAGGATGTTGACGGCTCTGAGCACTGCATACCAGAAGATTCTTCTACCATATTCATCAGCTCACTGATTTCATTTGTTGCAGGAGGACCTGTGGCATTGGTATTAGGAATCAGTTTCTGTGACTGATTAACATTTGCTTTAAAATTCTGACCATACTTTGCTGGTGATGGCTGAGTTCTTTTGCATCTGGTCTTTATTAAGCCAAGATCATCAACATCAAGCATGTTCGATTCTGAGCGTTGTGGGTGTCCGTAAAGAAGGTACCAAATATAAGTGTACATGATTCTGGATCGTGCCATTTTCCGCATGTAGCCCTGACTTTGTTGATCACTAGATGATGGTTGTCCTGTACGAACATCCTGTAACGAGAGACGTTTAGTCAGTAAAATTATTAGTATTCCTAGTCATCAGACATATAATTGACAAACAAGTACACCTACAGTAGTCATGCTACAGTAAAGTACATGCAAACCAATAAAATTCCATGTTACAACACCCTATCAGGTACCCACAACAACCTATATATCAGGCACAAAAGACACAAGAAAAATTTACGAGGGATTCAAACCCCTGATCTCCAAGTTGAGAGCAGAAACCACAACTGCTCTGCCAACAGCACTGTGCCCCAGTTCCCAACACAATCAGGAAGGGTCCTTGATTCAACCAACCAATCAGCATTGCTGATAGCTATCAGTGATAACATGTAGCAATTTTATGAAAGCACACTTTAGCAATTCAAATATTGATCAAATTAATTTACGCAACACAGGTAATATATCTTAAGGCGTTAGTAACTACAGAAGAACCCCTATTAAGAAGACACCTTCAGGACCCAAAAGTGTGCCTGAATAGGGTTGTCCCCTGAATAGAGTATGGCCATAGTGTTAAAAGATATATTTTCCCCTGTTTAGTGCCAGAAAAAGTGTCCCCTTAATAGGTATCCCAAAGAAGGGTTCTACTGTACTTGAAAATGATGATGAAAAAATGGTAAGGTATAGGCAGTCCCGTATTCATTACTGAACATGGGGAATGAGCTGTTAGCCCATCGTACTAAGCCTGGGCATTGTGTGGTAGTGTGCCCAGTTCCTTTCCTTTTTTCCTCCCGAGGAACCACCAGATGCCCATTTATACTCCTGGGTGGAGAAAGACAAGCGTAGGTAAAGTGCCTTGCCCAAGAACACAAGTGAAATGCACAGCAAAGTTTCGAACCCCCGACCTCAAGGTTGAGAGACTTAAATGCAACCGCTGCGCCAACCACTTCCAAAAAATGGATGAGCCCTTAATAATCTTACTACATATGATGGGACTTCCTCTTTGACAGTAGCTGTCTTTGCACTCGCTTTCTTTGTGACCTTTTCCTCATCTTCAGATTGACCACTAAAGTTCTTCATTATCTTCTTTAAACGGTTGGCTCGTTTCTAGCAATGGTAACAAAAAAATATATATTTACTAATTATACTTTGATATGAGCTTGATTGATCCGGGCTAAGGGGCTGATTATTAGGGGCCAATTCATGGAATTGTGAACTTGCTTGAGACCCAAAGACATACAAAATGTAAAAATTAAAAAATTACATCTATGAAGTTTTAACTTCTGGATAATTTGACCGAGACATATCTGTTCTCCCAGTCCCCCAGTTACCTACAGTACAATGTAATTTAACAATGTACACAAATGAAAGACCTTCAGGAGAGTGAAAATAAATCAAATTATATACCGTAAAACCTTGAATTGAAGTCCTGGGGTTCTTTGTTTTTGAAAACTTTGGATGGGCTACTTTTCGCGACAGGCTTCTTTTCAAGATGGGCTTCTTTTTAGACTACATTTGCAAAGTAAAGGGGAGGGGGGTGGGGAAAAAATGAATGCTGTAAATTTTGGCAAATACTACTATAAAACAACAAATAGGGCCACTGTATTAACATCAATCTGTATTATGAATTAAATCCTTAAACCGGCATTAAATCACAAAAAGCTACTGTATACCCCAAACACGTTTTTAATTTATTGTGTTTCTTTGAAATTTGCGTACACTACTATCTTGAAAAAAAGCCCATGCTATCTTGCAAAGAAGCCCATTGGCTTCATTTCTAAGGCAACTTTTGCAGAATAAAGAGGGGGCTTCAATTCCAGATGCACTTCCTCTCGAGAATAACCCAATAGGCTTCTATTCGAGGTTTTACAGTATTGTTTTCTCATTTAGCAAAATAGTTCAATCCAGAGCATCACGGCAAAGGCAATGGGTGCTCCTCCAAAGACCTGTGCAAACTATCAAATCGTATTTGACAAAAACATGTGACATGCCTAAATATGGTCATGATGACATCACATCATGAACATATATAGGCACATCATGACTATATAATGGGCATACAACAGTTTTTGTTCTACGAAAATTTGATATTGTGGACAGAGCTTCACACTACAGGCCAAAAATAAAAATCATCATTTGGGAGCTTTTGATTTTTTCGACGATCCGACGCTAGAACAGAATCACTCGCACATGACCGTAGTACCGAGCATTCTACGTTCTTTGTATATGTAGATTTGGCCAAATTGCGTCCTAAAATCCACTCGACAAGAAGAACTTAACATTCTCGCATGCGCAGATGACTTTTAGTGAAGTCACTACGTTCTACGTCCTACCGTCGCCGTGCAATGGAAAGCTCCTTATTACCTAAGACAGGGAGTTTGCAAAACAAAATAGAATTTTGAATTAATCATGACAGTGTAAAATGCTGTCTTTCATGTGCATGTTAAAATCATATGCGGTTGTTCACCTTCTTTTGCTGGGCTCGATAAACAGTTTTATGAAGCTTTGTCTTCTGATTGGACGCTTTAAACTGTGTAGCCTTAATGACGTTATGAACTAGTTCGTCGTTTTCTGGTAAACCCGGTACAGTGATCAGCATTAACTGTAATAAACATCAATTAAAGTTTTAGTTGAGAATAAAGCACAAACTAATTAGAACTTTAGGTGAAATTACTTTTATAATATTCTTTATTTATAATAAGTCCATATTTATAGTTTTCCCTTATTCTAAACAACGCCGTCAACGAGCGATGAAGTTGAGATTTTTTTGTTTGCTCACAGGAGTGCAGGAGGCCTCCCGGATTTCCGGGAGACTCCCGCAACTTGTTACCTGTGTTGTTACCTGTTTCGGACCGTTTTCATCAGTTGTAGGAACTACCGTGTGAATGACGTTCAAAAGGCCATCCCTTTTTAGTCCTTTGATTAACCTGCAAAATACATTAGTTAATAAATATGTAACTGTAAAATTTCATAATATAATATAATAATAATATTTAATAATAATAATAATAACAATAATAATAATAATAATTAATAATAATAATAATAATAATAATAATAATAATATATTAATAATAATATTTAATAATAATAATAATAACAATAATAATAATAATAATTAATAATAATAATAATAATAATAATAATAATATATTAATAATATAGAGATTTATACCGTGCCTTTTGCCAAGGGATACAAGGTGCTGGCGATGTTGTTATTATTACCCCTGGTCATCGGATCCATAATCAAACCAGCACAAAGTGCAACCTCCTCCACTCCCAAGGACACGAGCAATGCGACAAGCGTCGGTCTTGAACTCCCGATCTCACGATCAGAATTCCAACACCTTACACACAGCGCCACACACTAAAATTATTGACATTACTAATAATGCACTATTCTACTGGGACAATGAACATTATCTTTTCTCATTATAAAATTATATCAATATGTCTGATGTTTTCAACATTAATAATAATAATATATTAATAATATAGAGATTTATACCGTGCCTTTTGCCAAGGGATACAAGGTGCTGGCGATGTTGTTATTATTACCCCTGGTCATCGGATCCATAATCAAACCAGCACAAAGTGCAACCTCCTCCACTCCCAAGGACACGAGCAATGCGACAAGCGTCGGTCTTGAACTCCCGATCTCACGATCAGAATTCCAACACCTTACACACAGCGCACACTAAAATTATTGACATTACTAAATGCACTATTCTACTTGGACAATGAACATTATCTTATCTCATTATAAAATTATATCAATATGTCTGATGTTTTCAACATTGACAAATCAGTATTTTAAGGGACTGGAAAAAGATCCCCCCTATCAACCTTTCTCAGCTTGCAATCGCTGCTTACCTAGGCATTGTTTTAGCAGCACAAATCTCAGAATGCCCATCCTCTTTCTCTTGTTTCATTATTAACTGGAAAAAAATACAATTAGTAAAATTGTATCAGCAAAAATCATCAACATCTAGCCTACAAAATTAAAATCATTTTTGCCATTTGCAATAATTAGTTTGAAGTAAATTTTCTTAATTTAGGTAATATGAGGCATGTTGTGGAAAAATGGCTAAGATGTATCATGAAAATGATTTTCATGGAAAAACAATAAAATCGTTACTACTATGATTTTTCCATTTTCCATGATATGAAGTCATTTGAATTGATTTGTCAAAATATTTTATTATCGTATACACGATAAATCCTTATCAAATCGTCCAAGTGTAAAAAGTTCTCTTATTTTTATTTTGAATATGAACAATTTATTTTCAGTTTTTTATCGTTATCGTTACAAGTACTGTATAAACAGGCCTTAAAGCTCTAAAAAAAGTGCATGAAAGATTTACTAAAAATGTCAAAGTTTGGGTGTGGCCCTCAGTGTTAAAATCAAACCATCACTGGATTTAAACTTTATTCGTTTATTTTCAGAATGAAGATAGAGATTAAAGATCACAGAATCAACGATGGCTTGTACCACTTTCTTGGTATAGAATGAGTCTGTAATAATTAGGGTAATCGTATTTGTTTCATACTGTTTTATTAATATTACAGTTGTCAGGGATGTAGTTATGGAGGGTGGAGGTAGGCGGGGACACCAAGCGTTGAAGTTTCCAACCAATCTAAAGCTAATTTCAAGGCCCCCACCCACCTTTATTAACGCTCTTGCCCATTCTTAAAATCCACTCTTATAATTTAAAGTTTACGAATATTATCACCTACCCACCCTTAAATTGCCTACCACCCACTTTTAGTTTTCTAAAGCTACTACAAACCTGAGTTTAACACAACTCTAAAAAAAAAAAAAAATATGACTTTTGTTGTATCATATACAGTACAAATACCCAAACCCTCCAGCACAAAGAATAATAATTTTGGAATAGGTATATATATTATAGGTAATGTAATGTTGCTGACCTTTCTCAGACAATGTGTTCCATTGACTACTTTTGACTGTTCCAATTCCTTTAGGATTATCTTCCTCCTTCTATTTTCTTTAATGGACATACGAGTACCGCAGACATTGAGCTCTGTTTTCTTTTCAGGTGTAATTGTCTCAACTTCAGCTTTTATCACTGGAACATCTGTAATTATATATCATTGTATGTTACCGTTGCTGACGTAAGTATAAAGAATTTTCTTCATCCAGGTAAACAACAAAGTAAAAAAGACCTTAAAAAAATTCTTCCTGAAAAGGGATGTGTACTATATAAATACTTCATAAATATGTATTAGGTCATAACAACATTTCAATGGTCAAATCCACCTGGTGGTAAGAGGTGCAGTAGTTGTTACTACTTCCCTGTGACCACCACACCCCTGCCTATGCATAAACTGTCATGGAAAGGGCAAATATACTGTAGACGGATGATTTCCTGTTTAATATTTGAGGTATAGTAAAACAAATGTAACATGGATATATTTCGGTAGCCCTGTCCAGGCTATCAAATTTTATTTGACAAAAACATGTGGGTATCTGGTAGAATCGAATGCATCTGGTATGGGGGGGGGGGTGGCGTGTCAAGCTGGTCACTCACTACGCCCAATGGTTGTCTGCCGACGTAATTCTACGGTGAATGCAACGGCGCAATGTGCATAAAACAGTTCGTTTTTAATGACAATCCGTTCAAACTGCAATGCACAATCACCAATTGGCTAGCGATCACAGGGAGCAGAGTTGGATGCGTTGGCCGATACCTGTATGCCGCAGCATGTCTGTAACAGGGCGAGACAAAGTAACTGACATTTTTGTCGATTTTGCAATACCATTTGGGAGTATATTTAAACACATCTGAATTACCTGTGAAAATTTCAGGTCTCAACAATGAGTCGTTTCAGGGATAGCACCACCTATCTTTAAGCACAAAACTTAAAATCTAGTGATTTTCCATGGAAAAACAACGTAACTACAAGATTATGGGTCAAAACAACGTTTTCTCCAAAAGTGACAATTTCAAGTTACATTGTTTTGCCACAGGGCGGCCATGCAGTGAATGACCAGGTTTAGTATTCCATAGTACCTTCACTAGATAGAGATAAGGTGTGCAACTTACCACTGGTTGATGCTGTATTTGATTGAAGATCAAAATTTGGTAACTTCAACTCTTGTATTTCCTGCCTCACAGCTTTCTCTGATTGGCTAAGATTTGGTTCTTGATTCACTGCAACATACCTTACAATTGAATAATGTTGTTAGTATCAAACTGATAATAATAATAATAATAATAATAATAATAATAATAATAATAATAATAATAATAATAATAATAATAATAATAATAATAAAAATAATAATATGTGCTAAGTTGGACTTTAGGGAATATTTTTTGTTTTATTTTCCCCTTAACGTTGTTTTTTAAATTTTTCTCTAATTTCTCCATTGTCTAAGTTCCCCTTAAGGTAGGTTTCAGTGACATAATAATTACAATGAAGATAAAATTAATATTATATATACAATAATATTATATATTTATTTGTATAGCTTGTAAATTTTATCAATTTACCAGGAGTACAGAGTGGACCAGTTGCAACACTCTCCTGGCCAGCTCATCCAATTTACATTTTTGTTTTTGTTTTTTATTATTCAGCTTTTGGCAATATGGCCAAGGATCCCGTCACAAGACTAACACACACAAGATGCTCTACAAAGACTATTAAATCTCATGAGGCTTAACGAGTGGAGGTTTTTTGGTTGTGAGAAAAATCATGCAATTGTGACAGGAATTGATCCCAGGAACCTGGGATTGGAAAGCAAGCATCTTGACCACCACCAAGCTATTCAACTTCACTCCATTCAATCCTTGTGGAAAATTGATAATAAATAAATGAAAACAATGATGACGATGACAGTCAAAGGCGATGGTCTTAAATTAAAAATGATTATTAAGATCTACAAATTTCAAAATGGTATGAATAAACAATTAATGCTATTAATTACCTTCTATATTTGAGCTTTCCCTCAGAATGGAAGTATGTGTCAATTTGTTTATCTTTCACAAGCTTGTTGATGTATCGTTGAACTTCAAGTACAGTAAGCTGTAGGGATTTGCTGATTTCCTAAGCAGAAAACAAAGCAAGAGATTTTCATTAAATTTCAGTAAGCTGAAGCTCATATAAAAATGTATAGTACATACTCCAGATCAAATCAAAACTTTATTAGTCCATTAAACAGAAGTAAAACAGGAATTATTTTTCCACTGGCAAAAAACATGAAACACTTAAAAATACTGCAAAAGCAGCATTTAAATATCATTGTAAAAACAATTAAAACACCAAAAGAAGCAGGATTAAAATTCGGAAAGTTAAACATGGCTAAAAATTTACAATGATTAATAATGTGATTGATATTTAAATTTTTACGAGGGTAGGAAAATAGAAATGCATTTAAAACATTGAAATACACACCACTGTGTTGGGATTCAATATTTCAACACTAATTATATCATCATCAGCAATGATGACATAATTAATGTTGAAATATTGAATCCCAACGCCATGATGACATAATTAACATCAAAATATTGAATCCCACCACGATGATGTGTATTTCAATACTTGGAGTATGTATTATACTTTCTTATCTGAGATTAATCAGTGGACCATTCGGTGTCTGAAGCTCTTAAATGTTCCAGTAGCAGAAAACAAAGCAAATGATTTGATTTAAATATCAGTGGGTTTGAGTTCTCAAATGATCCAGTAACAATTATTGTGAATAAAATGGCAAAATTATTAAATTCTCACAGTATTAAAGTCTTAAATTAATACTTTTTAAAAATGATTTCCTAAGCTGTCTCTAAACTATCAAATTTTATGTTGTATCTGTGATTTCTCCATTTATGGTGATGTCATATCAAACACAAATAATGGGCCAATGACAGATTCGATTTTGATGAGAGAATTTTGAAGAGGCTATCTTTTAGGCATCTCACCAGTGGTCAGGGGCAGATCCAGTAGGGGCACAGGGGGAATATTCCCCCCCCCATTTGGCCACTAAATTTTTAAAAATTTCAATGCATACTATTGTTATGTGCTACTCACTTACTGTTGTGCCCCCACCCCCCATTTGAAAAAATTCTGTAGGCAAATTTCTCGAGCCACCATTGTGTTTCACTGATTGGCTACCAGCTTTCTCTCTGATTTCTGTAGCTATTTTGTTAAAAACGTGTATATAACGTGTATACACTATGATGTCTGGAGTAAACAAAACACAAATTTAAATGACTTACAATTTTTGATACCCCAGTTCGCATAAATCTGTAGATCTGCATCAGCCATGGTTGCTCTGCGGTCATTTGGTTGTCTGTTAGAACTGATAATATGATAATTATTACAAATTTTATATTTTACTAGCTATTCCTCAAACTTTCATATTAAGGTTATGGTTGGAATATGCTCTCACTTATGTTGTCAGTGGGAGTCTTCAATATGCATAATGTGACACATTCAAAATCTCTAGGTTAGCTTTAAGCTAACAAAGGATTATGGAGAAAGTAGTAGAATAACCCATAACTCGCAGCGTGATTGTGCTGTATTTCATATGGGTGTGGTCTGTGACTACCTAGCTGACATCATTCCATAACAGGAGGTGTAATGAACTTATCAATGGGGTAACCCCCTACTCTTCCAAAAGATGCAATTGGTTCTTAATGTGTACACGAGCCAGGTGTGCACACTGGACCTCCATTTTAAGTCATTATCTGAGAACCCGAGGCGAGGAGCAGCTTGAACCAGCACGGATGCTGTAGTTAGCGGCACCTCGTCTTGCAGTTCAGCCATTCGACTCGCCACACATAAAATGCATATGAGAATGAGTATAAATAACTATTTCCCGGTCATTTATTCCTCACATTATTATTACGGCCATCATTTATAAAAATATAAAATTTCGTTTTTTATAATTTTACACTAATTTCACAGTATGCTATGCAGATTAAACATCATGTAAACACTACTAGTTTGAGTACAAATTCTGTTGTTATTAAAATAGGACCAATTGTGTTCAAAGCTTTATTCACACTAAAGCAATGTCCACTCTATCAAATTCAATGTGACAATTGTGTGTGATGTGCCTATATATGGGCATAAAGATGTCATATTGCATAATATGCCCATATTTGGGTGGTATATGACATCATTATAACAGTTTTTTTTTGTCTCATAAAATTTAATAGTGTGGACAGAGTTTAAAGCTTTGTCTACGCTATCAAATTTTATGTAACAAAACAATGTGATGTGCCCATATATGGGTCCGATGACATCATATCACATATCACCAAATCGTATAAAAAAAAGTTTAACATTATTTTACAAAAACTCACGTAGTTCAGGCTCTGCTTGTTCGTTATCTTCGAGTTCTTGCATGTGCTCCTTGTAGGTTTTGAGCAACTTTACCACCCGTACTTGTCGTTCTACTCCTACTTTGTGCCTGTCTTCGGCAAAGTGACCATACACCTCTGTGTGAGGGCGCGTGTAAAACTTTGTTAATCCTGTGGTTTGTAACAGCTCGTAAAACTTCTTAATCTTTCGCTGGTTTAGACACTTGAAGAGCAAAAATCAAAGAGTGAATATTAAAATGTCCTTCATATATTTTTGTTGACTCATCGTGTTTTATAAAATTTACACCTACATTGTGTCCCGTAATACGTCTCGAAAATAATCATTATTGTTACTATTAAAATATGTTTCCATTATACAATAAAACCCCTATTAAAGGGACACCTTTGGGACCAAAACATATAATCATGGCACCTCTAGATGTATGGAAATGGCACTCTTAGCCCTAAATTTGGATTTTCATTTTTTTTTTCTCCATTTTTTTTTTTTTTTTTAAATTTAGAAGAGGGGGTAAAAGCCACTTTAAAAAAAATGTTTGTTTATTGTCAAATTTTTAAGACTACCTTTTCTTCCATGACAAGCAAAAGATGCTCCCTTACAGATGACAGTGTTGCTTCTCTTTCTGGCTGAGTTTCCAAGTAATTTGACATCTGTTCCATCAAATACTGATACGAACTGAAAAGCTTGTTGTGAAACCGTGACAACAGTAATATTACACCCCATTTCATAACACTAGTACTCTTTGTAAAATATGAAAGAGGCTGAAATGATATATAAAATAATATGGTACTTATAATTAAATATATAAATATATATATATATATATATATAATCTTTTATTTTTCTTCAATTTCATCTTTTCACCAAATTGCTTTCC